CTAGAATTCACTTACGTTCTACCAGTTTAACGATGTCCATCTAAAGTAACAATGATGGCAGTAAGCTTATGCCCGCCATCCGCAGTGTAATAAAGTTATTCTTGTTTCTTTTTTAACATCGATACAGAAATTAAACTGCACATGCCTCGATATTTCATCTCACTTGAATAATGTATGATACTCGAACAAAGATGATCTAGCTCATTCTACTAAACCAAATCAAGACGTATACAAATAACAAATCTTCTTCACTCTCACATCAGTCGCGGCAACTTGGTACCAATAAAACAAAAATGCATATCTATTATTTGAAAAGGAAGCCACTTCCACCTCACTTTGACATAAAAGGCCAACTTTTCACGCCCTCCACTGCGATTTCCGCCCTTCCAGACGACTTCATCCAATAAAGCTTGATCCGAACGATCTGAATTAAGCTCAGGGTTGAACCATCAATCAGCAGACCAGTTTAATATTGTCAAAGAAAATTTACACGTGAGAAGCAAGGTCCAGGTCAGTGATTGATTGAGATTTTTATTGGTGTTCTCGAATGATAAATGCTGAAGGCTTATTCATCCCTTACCTATCGGGACCCGGCAAAGAATAATTGCTATCTAATAACACGTCATCTACCCGAGTGCACTCTTAAGTTAAATGCGATTTATGTCAAAGTTGTTAACAAAGAAATACGTTGAACGAGGGTTATCTAACCCTAGCCTGTCGCAAATATCAATACGCAACTGGAGATCCATTTGTTCAGCATAACGACCCGTTCCTGTCAGAACACCCTGTTCCTTAACCCGATACCAAAAAATATATATTTCCTTCCCCCCATTGAATTCAATTTGAAACATTTATTTTATATAAATTGATTTACATGTGTGTGCTTTTGGATTATTATACAGGGTGACTTTGAAGTTGAGTCATTAATTTTCAGATAATGATTGTAGAAGGAAGATAAACCAGAATATGTGTGTAAAAATAAAAAAAAAATTAAAAAAAATTTTTACCTTGTTTTATAAAGTATCCTCCCGACAAGTATTTCAGTGCGGACCTGTATTTGATCGTGAGGTCCCCTGTGAGGTCTTAAGTCACCTGATTCACGAGCCCGTTGTACTACATTAACAAAGGCACGAGGGGTTGGTTGCACTCGATTGGGAAACCGATCCGCATAAACATGTGCCATTTTTTATTTCGTTTGAGCCACGCAACAGACACTATTCACACGCTAACCGACAGACACTGAGTGTATGTATAACTGAACTGAATAAAATACTTAATTGCAAAAACGTTCCAAATTCTTTCGCTTTTTTGTTTCCGATGCGATGAACTGGTAAGGCGGATTATATCCGTTGTTGCCAAACACGAGTACATGATATTATTATTGAGACAGGGCGGTACTCAAACTTCCAAAGGGCTATAACTTTGTTACTTTAATTTTACCAGAAAAATGGTAAAGGAAAAAAACATTTCTTTTGATCAGATCTACTCACTGTTAAAATAAATGACTCAACTTCGAAGTCACCCTGTATAAACAATAAAAAACACAATGTTACTTCTGTGTACATTCAAAATACTTATATTTTAGGAGGAAAAAGACAGCGTACGCGGGATAAGACCTTTTTACAAACATATTATTATGGGATATACTAGCTTTCTGTCCCGCGGTTTTACCCTCAGAACGTGTAGGTGGCACCACTATCAGAGTAACCAGATTTCTCAAACATGCAGGTTGGCTGTCAACTTACTAATGCCATCAGAGATACAAAACGTGATCAGAAGTTCGCACCCTTACTTAAAAACAACATTTTGTGTTAGTAACAATGTAAAGCGTACGAAGTCGCGGGTAATAGCAGGTGCAAAATAAAACGTATACGTGTCGCTTGACGGTCACAGGTTGAGTGGGCACGGGCTGACCGCGCTGTTGCCGGCTTGACGCTTCCGGTGGAGATTTTGGTAGATGTCTCAACAGTTGACTGCAAAATCGACGAAGAGTTCGCGGATTAAACCATGCCTCGGGTATCACTGAGTAAGTGTACAAATTCTTACGTCTCTCCATATTTGCTCCATATAGTAGTTCAGACTTGATGTGGACGTACCGAATAGATAACCACACTCATATACAGGGAAAATCAAATTTGTCTGACGACTTGAGTATAATGTGTACGAGAGAGAAACGCGACAAGTGGATATCAAGACATGTTAAAATGAGATAGAAGCCGGCTAACAAGCGAAGGTGATCACTCATCACACACACATCATTTCAATATTTTGTTTATTATGTTGATAAGAATTACTCATTTCAATTTTGATGCGACTTAGTGTTTTAATTTATTTTAGCATTATCTTTGATTTCCACCGATGGTGATAGAATCAGCACATACCGCTGTCGCAAAATGTAACAAATACAATTAAGCAATACAAATTATCACTGCCTACGTGTACGCAGATGAAAACCATTTCGAAGCAACCACCAATGAATTCGTGTAACATATTAGTAACGCGGTGATGATCTTCGCTATCCAGCCGGCTTCTATCTCTTTCTAACATATGTGTCTATACACACTTCTCTCTTGAGCGCATTGAACTCGAGCCGTCAAACTTTGGGTCTCAGTGTATAGGGAAGATCACGGACCACATAGCATTTGGGTTTGCTAGATAACAGGTAAATGTACCTTACCGGACTAGCTTCATTAAATATTGTATGACAAATAACCCAATAACTACTAATTCACAATGCCCTACTTAAAATAAAACAAAATACCAAACAAATCTCAATAAGGACGATGGCGCTAGACAGCTCATGTCAAAGTCCATTAAGCTGTTTGGGCTGTAGCACTTGAAGTATATATTTCCCGGAAAAAGGGTATGTGGTATTCCAGACTATAACATACGAGGGTGAATCAAATATGAACCGGATTTTTCTGTTTAACGCGCCATTGGTGAATGGAGTGGGGCGACGTCTTCGTATATGTTGGGTGGGGATCAGTCGGTTAGTAGAAGAATTGCACACGTTTGTTGCGCAACGCATTATCATCAATTTTTTGTCGCGGAAGGGCGTAAAACGTTCCGAAATTTTGCGCCGATTAATTAACAGCACAGTTCGGTGCTAAGAGAGTTTCAAGGACATAAGTATAAGGCTGGCAATTTTTTTCCATGGAGTGGCGAGAGACTGGACAGGCAGCACCGCGAAAAGCCAAGACTAGTATTTCTGCAGGAAAAGTTCTTGCAACGGTATTTTGGGATTCCAGAGGTATACTGCTAGTTGATTTTCTTCACGATCGCCGTACAGTCAATTCTGCTTACTACTGCCAACTGCTTAAAGAAGTGAAACTGCTCTTGCGGAGAAAAAGGCGAGACATGCCTATTCGAAGTGCCAATTTGCTCCATGGTAACGCTTGGCCACATACAGCTGCATTGGTCCAACAAAGGTACGCGAAATTTATTGGAAAAACACTTGAACACCCGCCTTACAGTGTCGATTTGTCGCCATGTGACTATCACATGTCTAGGCCACTTAAAGAAGACCTGGGTGGTCACCACTTTGATGATGACGAAGGTGTGGAAACACTCGTGCACAATGGGCACACGGCCAGCTTCATTCTTTGATGGTGGAATAAGAAAAATTCCAATCCCATGTGCAAAATGCATCAATAAGATATTAAATTACGTAGAACAATAAGATGTAAATAAACCTGGACTTATTATACCAATATAATTACTAAAACAAAAGTCTGGTTCATATTTGATTCACCGTCGTATCTTTACCAAATTTCATCCAGATTCATTCAACCATTTTGGTGTGATGTAAAACATACCCACACTTTCTCATTTATAATATTAAGTAGGGACACTATGGACATATTTGTGGGGATAATGCATATGCCTTTCGAATTTTAGAGGCCAATTTGACATCGCTGGCTTGGATGGCTGATTGGACGACCTATTTTGGTCAAGATCGGCTTTAGGGCCGTATCGTCAGTCGGCCCTACAACTGAAGGACACCTTTATGGTCACCTTGATTTACATAGTATTTTCTCTCTTTCAGAAAAGCCGGGATATTTCTAGATTTCTACTTCTCCGTGTCTGCATCAGCGCTCTCCTATTGTGAAATTGTGTTTTCTTTTTGAATTGTAAGAAATTTCAGGCTGATAAAACAAATGATAAAAGTCAAAAGCATTAACAACTTTATGGAAATATATATTTATAACATGACCTCAAAATAGAGCGCTTAAACGGAATAATAGACAACTACGAAAATCAAGGAGGCCATGAAGGCGTCCTATAATTGTAGGAACGAGTGACGATACGGTCCTTAGTGATTTATCATACTCGGTGTTTTTAAAAAATTTCTTGTTCGCCTGGCCCAGGCGTATCGCTACACTGTCCTTTTATATCATCTTCCAAAGTATCTCACCTGGGACGCATTAGGAGAACTGCCCAGCTCTTTTATATATCTCCTTAAGGCACCTATCTAATTTGAAAATGCTACTTTACCTATACGGGAGAATACATCACTTAGTCCATATTTTGTTAGTTACTGAGGTAAAGAAAAATTCTAAACTAAATCGTATAATCTCCCGCGTAACCTCGCATAGCAGTCACAGTACCTCGGTATGAATACATCAACTGCTTCTTCTGGTGATTGGAACCTTTGACCACGCAGTCTGTTTTTAATTTTCGGGAAAGTAAAGAAATCGTTAGGACTTAGATCGGGACTATATATGAAGGATGGTCCAATAATTCCACGTTTTCTTCCGTTAAATACTACCTTGTTTTTTGAGCTGTGTGCGAGCTTGCATTGTCTTGGTGGAGGATGATTCTTCTTTCGGGGTTGATTTTTCGAAGCTCGGTGATGTCTTTTGGCAAACCCCTTTCCCCTGTATCCCCTATAGCCCCACGGTACCCAATGGGTGTTTAGGCCTTAGGCTGTCGTGGTAGTTGGAGTATAAAAAAAATACTCTTCTTTTGAAGTTGCTTCTGATAATGATAATGAAAACAACTATATCTTGTAGAGTATAGTATATTTCACGCCTAAATTTATTGTCACAGTCACATTATCTTGGATTCAGGCGCACTCTCAACATTTCTTGAAGACGTTTCAGAATATTTACATACTTTCAGCTTAGAAAACAATAGTCAACAAAATAGTTCTACATCTTCTTCTAAAGTAAATCAAAAATAAACAAACAACAATTCGCAATATACATACATTAACTTAAAAATTAAAAATAAGTACATAAAAAATACACCTCAGTGGATCAAATACATATATACAGAACAAATGAAATAACGAAAATATCACAACTCGTATTCTAAAATAAAATAATGTCATTAGGTAAAACAAGGACGGGTAATGATAAAATAATGCCAGAGAGTTGGATTTAAGATGGGTATCTCAGGATATGCAAGCAGACACACAGACCCATAAATAATGCTAATTATCCAGGGTGATTTAGAAAACCCTAACAATATTTTTGGGGCAGAAAGTAAATTCAAAAATAACACGGAAAGATGAAATGTTCTCTTTTATCTTTATTAAGTTTCATCAGTGGCATATAAGTGTACAACACCCTACAACTCGCTAGTGGACCTATGATTACAAGGACTTTCAATTCACACAATACTAGCAACCTGAGATATTGTTTTTTCGATGATATGTCCATCACGGAATCCCTGTCACTCATTTCTGTCGATCTTGGCCAGTCTATAAGTTTGAAAGTACCGCTCGAATTTTGATGAAATTTTCACACGATAATTTTAGAATAGATAGAGATAAATTTTCAACACACGTGTCTCTGGTCTATGGATATACCTGTGTCACGGCCTCACTGATGAGTGTCTCTGTTTCGTATTTTTTTGGGTCGTGCCAGCCGTGTTACCGAGTGGCAAGCGGCATGGTATGAGCGAGGCTAGTCATAGCGACGTTGACAGATGGTCGGTACTGTCGGTAGGGCAGGGCAGGTAAAAACTTCCTATGGAGTCATAGGTCTGTTTGACTGCGTCGATTCATTTTTTAGTAGTAACGACAGCATTACGAAGGATGTGAAGAGCCAACCTACTTGACGCCGCCATTTTTATTTGTTTTTCGATGTACTTTTTGCTCTAGAAGTAATGCCACTGTTTCTTGATTCACCCTGTAGATCATGAACCATACCAGTGTCTCTAACAAAGTCCCACGCGCTTCTCTTAAAATGTTTTCATTGTTTCCAGAATCATGTTTTTGGACCTAAGGGAATACTTGCATATTCTGGCAAAAACCCGTTATGCAGTTGCTCACAACTCTCATAGCAGTTACAGTACAACAATCATAATAACTAAACTTGCGTAGTTTCTGAGCTGGTGTGCTAATATCGGACACTTATTATGAAATTCAAAAAACAGAATTATCCTGAAAAGTAGGAAAAAATGACATTCATCATAATGGCGATCCATAAATCGCCAGTACAGAATAGATACATAACCATGGACGTGGTCAGAAGTTTTTCTCAGAGCGGAGAAGATTAGACAGCACGATGAAACTATCTGTATATTATGATTATGTGACAGCCCAAACAATTTTTGGATTGCTGGGGTATCAGAATATCTCACGGGGGCAAATCTTGGAAAATTAACTATGATAAAACTATGCTGAGTATGTAAATTTTGCGATAGGTTGGGATGAATGATCTAAAGAAAACTGTTTAACTTTAGATCCTAAAAAGTGTAAAAAAACTTAATAAAAATCCGAGCTTAGTAGATCAATTTGAATTAGAATAGCTTTCCGAAGTTCATGTTATTTGAAGTATAATAAAGTGTCATCTGAGTTTACAACCCTATGTTTGAAAATGAAAAAAAATTCCTTATAATCGTAAGGTATCAAATTTTGAGTATCGGTCGAGCACACACATCTATGGCCCCTAAATTGTTGAGGTAGATTCTAAATATTGACTTTGAGATTGTAAATACAGATGGCTAAAATTAATTTTTTTAACATAAGTATGTAAGTCACCATGTCTAGAAGTAATAACAAACTACAACCCTACTAACACTGAAATCTAGATCTGGTTAAATACAATAAAGTTGTAATTTTCTGTTTAAGAGGTTGCTAAATATTGCTGAAATATGTCCAAAACGTCACATTTGCTGATATGTAATTTTCTATGAACCCAAGAATCCCTAGTAAGGATAGTAATATGGTATCATTCATGTAGCATTTTTGAGTTAAATACAACAGATATTTTGTAATTGTGTGGAATATCTGGGCATCTTGAGTTACAGTTAAAGAGGTGCATAAAATCATATAGCACACAACCATTCTTACTTGCCTACCATTTCATTCTACATATTTCAACGTACTGTACAGCAAATAAAAAAAAATTGAAGGATCATAGATATTTAACAGTTAATTCACAAGTTCCAATCATTTAGTGAATGTTTAATACAGTTCAATCTCAACCTTGCTATCTAGTTTCTAGCAATTTTAGCTGATTCTGGAAGTTTTAACTTTTCTTACTCCTCCGTAACTGAACCATAAATATATGTACATATTTCTTCCAAGTTAAGGAATTGTGAATCTTTCTGCAAACACAGATTGTGGGTTTATTAGATATACTAGTAAGCTCTTGAAGGATTGCATTCATTTTAGTAAGTAATAAATACTAGTTAGGAGATGCCTAGGTAGAAGATACAGGGGTTGTCCCAGGATAAGTTGGAAACGAGGAATAGGCCAGGCCAAAATACTTGTCAGGAAAATATAAAAAAATCTAAGTCGTGTGCTTTTCAGATTATAGGCTTTAAAAAAATCGGAAGAATCGGAAAAATCTACACCCTGTAATGATCTTTTAGTTCCCATACAAATTTAATTTTTTTCTCAGCAGAATGACGGACAGAGTAGTGCCACCATGTCTGTGTATATCGTACAGACGCCAACATGCACCTCACTAATGGGGAATGTAGATGCAATGCCAATGCTGCAGCTAGCCTATATCGTGAGAGGTACCGAAATGCTGCTCGTCATCCCGATCGCAAAGTTTTTGTGAATGTGCACCTTTTCCTCTCAGAGTGACGATTCCCAAATTAAGCACGTGGCGAAGGAAGAATTTCCTTTACTTGCGAGGACGTCGTACTATAGGCAGTCGAAGAACATCCGAGTACTTCAGTACGCCAAATAGAAGCAAGCACGGGAGTGCCCAAAAGTACAGGCCAGCGAATCTTGCGAAAGAACAAGCTCCTCGCGTATCACATACAGCGAGTACAATCTCTACAATCCAAGGATGGTCTTCCAAGAGTTGATTTTTGTCAAACAATGTTACGGAGACACGGGGAAGATGGTTTCATGAATCTACACAACTTACACCAGAGGCATGTATAAAATCCACATTAGATGAGAGATCACAGTATCAATTTAAAGTAAACATGTGGACCGGGAATCTGAATGGGAGAATCATTGTACACTTTGTGCAGCCAGAGTTCTTCCACGCGGAATACTCCGAGCAGATGGATAGGGCGGTCTGATATAATTTCGTGGCCAGCCAGTTCAGCTGATTTCAATCCACCCGTTTTTTTTTTACTGGGCAGTGGCGAAAGAAAAAATTCAATCAAGGCCAATCGAAAATTTAGGTACGCTACGGGACAGAATAACGGAAGCAGCTGATTTTTTTAATAACAGAAGATTCGCCCGTCTGACAACCCGATCATTTTTAAGAAGATGTCAAACTTGCATTTCTGCTGAAGGAAGGCAGTTTTAACATTTATTGTGAATGTAATAAATACATTCACGAATTAATGAAAGTCCGTCACTGCGTCTAAAAAAAATGAGATTTTTAGTAATGAGAACTAAAAGATTATCACTGGGTGTAAAATTTTCTGATTTTTCCTTTTTTAAGCCTATAATTTGAAAGGTACACAACTTAGATTATTTCCATATTTTTCTGATAACTATTATGACCTTCTGGAACACCCTATATAAACTGGATACCATAACTATAGTGCCACCAACAACTTTCGGCTTCTTTTCGTTCGGATGGTAAAACAAACAAAAATAATTAATATGTACAATTAAACAAATTAACTAGATAAAAAACGAAAATTGTTGGTGAGATCAGATTTAAACTCTCCAGTACACAGGGTGATTGGAAATTCGACCTATTCCCTGAAAGTGGTGATTCTAGAAGTTATTTGTGGTGAATTAATCCCCATCAACTGGGGTTCGCAAATGAGCGGTTTCCGAGATATTGGCATTTCTGCTTACTGATCAATATTTTTTTTTGAATCTACTCATTTCTTGGAACTGAATTGATGGTTTTCTGAAAGCTGTGAAACTAGCAAATAATTAAGTAAAAAATGCTATACCAAAAGTTTGAAACTGTTAGAAATAAAAGGCTGTTAATGAAGAGATTTTGATTTTTGTTTATTATTTCCAAAGATATTTGAAATAAAATGTATGATATTCGGCATACAGATTACTAAAATAATTGCAGAATTTCATGAGCTTTCCAAAATCGTACAAATTTTATTAAGTATTTCAAGCATTTGAAAAAACCAGCAACCATCGATTAGAGGTAGTAGATTTCGTAAATTCAATATTCACAAAACAGCTTTCTCGGAATAAAATGCATCGTATTTGTACCAAACTGACTCCTTTAACTCCGTAAGTATTCGGGTGTATCCGTCGGAGTGTCCGATGAGGTTCGCGATGCATCATGATCGACAGTTTGTTTATCGCTTGACAACTTGGCATATCCCAATGGAAATCCTGGTTTACCTCTCATACAGCGCAACTCTATCCATACCATTACACTCCAGTGCACGCTATGGAGCAGGGCGACCCTAAACGAAGGATTGACTTTCATGCCGATATTGAAAACCCATACTACCTCAGAAATATCCTTTGGACTGATGAATCGAAATTCGATCGTGGTGGTAAATACAAGTACAAATTAACACAATGCCCACTATTGGGCCCCTAAGCGTCAAAATCCAAAACAATTCGTAAGAAGGCAAGCACCAGAGAAGATTCTCGTTAAACGTTTGGATGGGAATTATACATAATAAATTGATTGGACCTTTTTTTGCCCGACAATTTAAATGGTGCCTATTGTAAAAACTTTTCAAGAAATAAAGTGGATGATAGCTAGGTGAATCAATATAATATACGAACATGATGGCTGCCCAGCCCATTATTTTCGAGGTGTACGACAATGGCTGGCTGCAAACTATTCGCAGAGATGGATTGGTCGACGAGGCCCAACGCCGTGAACGTACTCTTTCAACAAAAGTGACAGTGACCCAACTGCGACGTAGGCTACGTGCTTGCTTCCGTAACAATGGTAGGCAATTTGAACAAGATTTATAGTTGTTGACACATTCGCTGCCGCTGGCTCTTATAAGAGTCAACGCGGTATGTTCGCCAGTGCCGCTGACTCTTATCAGAGCCAAGGTACAATACTGCAGGCACTCAAGGGCACAAATTAGTAAAACGTGATTTAGATGGTAAAAAACAAGTGTCCAGAAAAAGATGTCAGTCTTGTAACAAGAAGGGAATCCATACCCAAACGATGTACGAATGTAGAACATGCCCTAATGTTCCAGGATTCTGCTTGGAGTGCAGTGACATTATTCACAAATAATTTGTTGTACTAAAAATAGTCTGCATTCACCACAAATTCATGTTTGTATTCTAAAGAAAAGTTTTTTCATTTCTAATTTTTTATTAGATTTTATCATATTAGGTGTATTATTTACCGGAAAAGTTTTTGTTATACTTTTATATGTTGTCTATCTACTATTTTGAGTTACAAAAATAATTTTTAATATTTTATTTTTTTAACGGTCCAAAATAAATGTTTTTTTTGCTTTTAGTTGATTTCTATTATAAAAAACAAATGATTATCTTCCGACTCTTATAAGCGCCAGCTGGCACACAGGAAACCGATTTGTAAGTCAGTGCCGTAGGCTCTTAGAAGTGCCACAAAAAATCTTCTAATTAAAAAAACAGTTTACGAAAATACCTCAATAACGGATTTTACGCCGTTATACTACCAAAGTAACAAATTAACCATTATACAACTAATTGGCTCCTGGGTAAAACCAACCGAAAAAAGGTGGCAGTCAACGTGTTCAGTAACAACGTTGTTTTTGTTTCATCAAATCTTTACAAAGTACATGTTGTCTTTAATTAATTGAAACTTTACCAAGCTCATTTAATTTAAAAATTCAGTTGTACCTACAGTACCCTTTGTACGGTTCTTTTAGGATATGCCTGAAAAAGTTAAATTTGTACTATTTTGGAAAGCCCATGAAATTCTGTAATTATCTTTGTAATCTGTGCGCCAACTGTTATACATTTTATTTCAAATAACTTATGTTGATTTTCGGAAATAATCAAAAATCAAAATCTCTTCACTAACAGCCTTTTAACAGTTTCAAAGTTTTGGTATAGCATTTTTATCTTGATCATTTGTTACTTTCACAGCTTTCAGAAAACCACCAATTCAGGTCCAAGAAATGCAAAGGTATTTTTTTAATTTTTTTTCGATCTGTGAACAGAAAATTTTCAAAAAATCTTGAAATGCCGATATATCGGAAACCGCTCATTTCCGACCCCCAGTTGATTAATTTATCACAAATAACCTCTAGAACCACCGCTTTCAAGGAATAGGTAGAATTTCCAATCGCTCATATTTGGTCAAAGAAAAAAGATCAGTAAAAATAAGCATCACTTGTTAGTAATAGTTATATCAATGATATGTTTTCATTATAAATATTTGTAAGAGACTACCTTTTTGCACTAAATCACAGGCATGCAAATTTAAGTTAATAGAAGTAGTGGTCAGGTCATTTGCGAATTACTGCATTTTTGCTTTTCCGAAGTACTATTATAATTTCGACCAAATTAAACATGCAATCAACCAGAAAAGAAGTCTGAAAGACGAAAATGAAAAAGATTTCGCAAAAATGTTTCTTATCTCACCGACTTGAAAATGTTCTCGTTAAGGTATGTGCCTTCCACATTTATTCGTCACTGTCAGTATGATAACTTAATTGTCGTGGGCGTACCATTTGAGTTTACCTTTTGTTGAACTTCGATATAAAACAGAGCAATCCTGAACATACAACTACAATGTAGACAGTCTGTGGTAAGTACTTTCAGAGATTGAGTGAAAACAATAGTCCTCTGTCACCTAATTCATATGTTTGTGTATGAGCGCCCAGGCATTCATGGCCGGAGCTTGCAGATTTCAATATCGCAGGCTGGTGTTTATTTTGACGTAAATGATATTTCAATACACTATAGTCGAGTAATGTGAAAACCCAAAATACGACAATCAATTTTAGCTTTGGAGAAATCACTTAACAATTCCAACTCTAAACAATTTTGTGCAAGTCATTCAGTAAACCTCGTTTCATAAATAACATTTACAATAAAAATAATTTGGTGCCTTTCACTTCTATCACACGCTACTATAATATGTATAACCACACCCAATCCTTATATTCTCTACTACCACAGCTAAGTTTCGTATTTAAATCTAGGTCTGATTGTGAAAATTTTATGTACATTTTGGAACATCATATTCTGATCACAATATTCCAATTCTAAATAAGAATTCAATCACTGCAAGTAAGATCTGTGATGCTTAGATTCCATCTCATTTCGAATTAAAAAAATATACGAACTGATATATTTTTCTCGCAGACATGGGCACGTGTTAAACAATATGATCAATTGCAGACGTTTGTTTCATAAGACTCATGAAACTAGGAATTTAGCAGCTAGAAGTGTAATATCATTCAGAAACACCTGTTTCTAGCTCGGTCAATTTAGTCAAATCATATTAGCAAATTTCCCCGGAGTATTGTAAAGTCTGGTTTTATTGATGCAAGTTGTCCAAGGGGGTATTTAAAACATGGACGCATAAAATGGGTACATCAATTTTTGTTGGAAAACTTTTTAACAAGAAATAATGAGAAAACGTGTTTTTTGGGATTCAATCAAAAGTGTTGGCAGGAAGGACAAAAACTCTTCAAATAAGATTGTTAGGTATTTACGAGACCTACAAAATGAGACCAGTCCTAAAACGACTAATAGTAAAACAAAGTTATTGCCGAAAACCGAGGCAAAAAGCAAGTTTTTCTAGCAGTTACTTGAATTTATTGAAATCCGTAGGCTTCATACTTCTAAATAACTACAACAAAATTTTAGTCGATTGGTCAAGTAGTTTTTGGGAATTTCTAATTGTTTATCCCAAAACACCTGTCTTCCGGCCATCACTACTAGTTTATTGAGCAATATACAGGGTTCGTCCAAAGAGCATTTTATAGCAAAATACACAAGTTTATCTTGCCGTCTTGAATCACAATCCATTTTGAAAAATAATTATTATTTATATGCGAAAAACGAAGGGTTAGGTTTTTTTTTTCTAAACAAATTCGAACATTTCGTATTTGTGAGTAATTGAACAGATTCGCTAGGATATTCGAAAAACATACGTTATTATACAAATTTTAAAACAATATGTTTATCACCTTTTTTTGCGAAGAAAACACTTTTTTCAATATTTCTTCATGCTCTTGTGTATTCATATTTAGGGCCGAAATTTTTACACGGTCACATTATGAGCCTTAAAGTTTATAAAACAAATATTTCATACTGACATGCAAACTGAAGACACAATTATGTTTCAAACTGTATTAGACTAGTTAGTATGTATCATGTGCTAGATAGCTGCATTACTTTGTCAAAAAGTAGGTCACGTAATCCAGTTTCTTACGAAGAAATATAATTCCCTTTTTTCTAAAAGTATTAACACGGTATATCTGTTTCGAAAACTCGTACGATTAAAACGGCTGCGAGTTGGAAAATAAACTCAAGAAAACGAAAAAAAAGTAGGCAAATATCAACCAATTGTAGCGAACTGACCGTCTGAAAAATTAGGCAAAATGCTCGGTATTAGTCCGTTATGCATTATTGAAGGTTTCAGCATTGTATCTTATATAGTTTTCAAAAATATTCTAATTGTTTAAAATAGATTTTATATCCCTCCAACGTTCGCCTGAGATTTGTCAGTATAGTGGTATAAAGAGCCAGTAAACTGAGAGGCGTCGTAGTGTAATGGGAAAGAGTGACGATTGCAGAACCACAGGACAGGGGTTCGAATCCAAAAGCTTTTTTTTTCTAATATTTTTTTCAAATTTGGAGAAATAAATGCTTTTTTCTACCAGCGAGTGAAAAGTACTCACTCACGTAAAGTAGCAATTTTCCGCACGCATAACTTTTCCGCACGCATTACGTGTTATATATAATAACCATGATCCTTTGTTTCCATTTTTGTATTACGACTTTGATTTTGGGCTGCTAAATAATATTAGGTTGAATGTCGGTAATAATGTAGTCTATTCCATCTGTATGACTTCGTATCCACAAAGAATCGTTAAAAGGTATTTGAATTGCAAGTTTTCGAGTAAACTGGAATAATCGTTGATTTATCGGCCACGTAACGGGGTGGGTTTTTGTTTTGGGCAAATAAAGTTTCCCAAACGTTCCTTAATAAAAATATGAAGTTTTCCCGCAAAAATTGGTGTACCCGTTTTATGCGTCCATGTTTTAAGTACCCCTTTGAACAACTTGCATCAATAAAACCAGACTTTACAATTATTTCGCAAACCAGGGGTATTTTCGTCTGATATGATTAGACTAGTTACCATTAGGTAATACGTGCAATAAACAAGTCATAACTCAAATCAGGTCGTAAAGATTACTCACGTGATGTTTGCTATCCAGAACATTTTCCTATGGGTACTGAATGATGCACTAAATATAAGCAAACGTTCTTGAAATCACAAAGATACGTTTCCTGGAGCTTCTGCAACCTCTATTTCAACTTGAACAACTTGGTGAGTAGCTTTTCTTATAAAAAAACTTGTCCAATTTCTTTATCAGTTCTAGAGCAATGATTTAGAAATGCTATAATTTGTTAGTGTTCGTTTTCCAATATTGTGGAAACTTTAAAGCACAAAAGCTAAATCTTTCAAGGTACACGAATGCTTTTTCAACGAATCAGTTCATCATCTTTATATGCAAAACTATGATTAACGTACTTAACATTTAGGAATAATTGTGCACTTGAAAATCAATTCAAATCAATCCGCTCCAATATAATCTGATATAAAAAACATAAACATAAACAAGACAACATTTGCAAATTATTAACTCGTGTGGTATAAATATTGATGATTTCTACAGTATGCATTTTCTGCCCCATATGAAATGATAGCGGAGAGGAATCTGAATATCACAGTTACAATTGTCAGTTATGAAATCTGGCATAATTAGCTGCCTAAAAATAGCAAAATTTTTGGTTTATTAGGCAAGATCCATGTCAAAAATAAATAGACTAACCTACCTATGCAACTATTATAGGCTTAGATCCCATAAAACGTTTTACACCCGAAAGTTTCCTATTGCCAACCTGCCGCAAATACATATAATTTCAGTTCAAAAATGGAAAAATTTTGAGTAACATCTCAACCAACAAACACCTGCTGACAATGCTGAAGAGTAATCTGGCTATCATTCTTACTTTTTAGACGTTAAAACGTCTCCATGGCAATTTAATGCTGGAAAAATATACTACCATGGTTGACAGGCACTTATGGGCTGACACGTCGGACAAAGATATGCAAAAAAAAACGTGATAATGAAGCCTATATAAGATTAAACAATAATCATATTTGCAGTTCCTCTGTAGATTGCGACCCAATTCGGTTGGATATCCTCGAAGAAAAGATATAATTGATATTCTCAAAACCGACTGGTGGACCATGATGATTGAATCCCAATGTTTTGCTTCGACACTTCAAGGTCAAACTGTGGTTTCAAGTGATTTTTTCACAAGATAAATAACATGATTCCCTTGAAGTGTCGAATGACTATTCCTCGCATGTTGGATCTATGATCAATGCAGATGCAGCAATAGTAGTCTAGATTGCATAACGGCGAACCGGTGTGTTGCAACAACGATTCTGGGTGTTTTCGGGTTCTCGCAGTCGTTTGGCATTTTTGGGGCAATGAGCGAGTGACGTGTCTGCTACATCCAAAACAATAGATAATATAGGCTTTGCTGATGCCATCTTGAAATTGCAATGATGGCGACCATTCAGGCTGTTGTTGCAACACATTATATAGTAGCGGTAAAAACAAATGAACTACAGCCTGGAAAACGGATAAATATAAAACGTGGATAAACAGTAATTTCTATATACAGGGTCCGGGCACAAAGGACGGATGTTTTTGAAATGGGTAAATCACTTCTTGTACTGATCAACAAAACACCACCAGGACCTTCACGAACGGTTCGAACCCCTAAAAATATGGAACGCGTTCTACAAGCCCTCGAAATGATCACCAGCTTCTTTTCGCCTGACTTACGACGACGACGACGTATTCCATTTCGACGTGTGTGGTTCCAACAGGATGAGGTGACCTCCCTCACAGCCAGAGCAACGATAAACGTTATTCCGTGGTCGCCTTATTTCCAGGTTTGATGATGCTCATTGGCCTCCCCGGTTCCCAAATGTATCCATTGTTTCCTATGGGGACACCTCAACGCTCGTGTACACGAGCTCAAGCTCCGAACTCTGGATGAGCTGAAGGAGGCAATTCGCGTGAAAGTCGCCCAAGTTGAGAGAACGATGTTGGAGAGAGTCTACGCCAACATTCAAGAACGCCTCCAGCAATGCATTGTCAAAAACGGTCACCACATAACTGAGGTGATTTTCCACACTTAACTGAGACAAACGCTATTTCATTTGTCATGTGCCAAAATCACGTAACCTTTTTTTTACTACTTTGATCACTTACTAGTAATTAGAATTTCTCTTTATTGATTATAGGGGATTCCTAGGCGAAACCCATTTTAATGATGTTCTTTTGGAAAATTTCATAGTTTATTGATTGTATAAATTCGCACGTATTATATATTTCTTTCTCAGCGACTCAGTATTGTGTTGAAATCTTTTGGACACTAACATTATAGTATTATTAACCACTATCTCAGAAATTTCCTTATAAAATATCGTCGGTCCCTCGTAGAGTTGGATTTGCCCATTGGCAACCAGCGCCACCTTGTGATTTCTACACGTACTAACCTAAATAATATTTGATTTCCTATCAAGATACCTTCTTTTGAAAGGTGATTTACTATCAAGATATCTTCTTTTAATTTCGTGTTCAGAGGCGTCCAGCGCCATTTTCTGTTTGCTTTCTGTTGTGGTTTTGGTTGTGCGTGGGTCGCTTCGTAGGTAATAATTTCCAGATTCTGGGATTTTGACCCCCAAACACCAGTCTATGGAGTAGTACCCTTTTACTTTGTACCTTACGTTTAGTTGTTTTGGTTTGGGTGCTACCACGTCCATTTTCTAATGGGATTTTGACCATCAGCGTGGTAAGGCATTGCGGAGAACCACCATTCACATAACTCCAGCTTTGTTTTGTAGCTGCCTTGTAGCTGTTTCGCAGCCGCAGCCTCGTGACACATTGGAACCAGAATCCGTCAATAAATTTGTGTTTGAGTAAAAATTACCGATTTTGTGATTTTTTAAAACCGTCCGACCTTTGTGACGGGCCCTATATTTGTGGTTTCATTTGACCAGAAAAACTGAAGTTCTATCACAAAGCCTTCAAACTGAAATTAGTCATACTTGTAACAAGCTGGCGGTAGACAAACCTAGTTTAAAGAGTTCATTTAACGAGCTTCGATTATTTGGGTAGATAAAATGCTATGAGATCTGAGCCTATTAGATCTTTCAGTAGAATGTTAAATTTCAACTTGGTTATTGCTTAATCAAGACTTTTCAAGTCAAACATAAGTTTTTGTAAATAAATTTCAGATGTAAACTGATACAGTATTTTTAACGAGTATCCATTACGTTCTGACATCAGCAAGTGGCACCTTGGTATTAAAGTCTGTAGTGTTGGCAATAATATGACTTCTCAACTTCAGATTCGTGTTAAGCGTATTAAAATACATAAAAAATACATTTTATCGAGATCGAGAAGTTTTTTCGTTTGGATAAGTAATTTTTTTTGTAATTTTTACCCATTTTATCGGTTTTTTACAATTTACTCTAAATGTTTAGGGTATACGCGTCAAGAGGACCTCAGGTTTGTTTGGATTTGGCGCATCGAAATATATAACCCTAGGTGGGTCTAGTCAAATGTACGGACCACTTATTTTGTGTGTCGGTGTTTTTTTTTTTTCACATATATAGAGACTTTTATTGAATGGGAATTTTGACATTAAAATATATGAATTACGCATAAAAAATGTTTATCACACCATTAGTATAGTACATCTGGGATTTATTGATATATAAGTCAATAGAACAGACTGCATTGCCCTTTGCAGTAGCTGTAAAAAATTATAAACACGTGTTTGTGATTAATTGTCGCAGACATCACTGTAACTTAATGTTGAGACCTAATTCAGAAAATGGACCCTCTATCATTTCGATCATATACTGCCACATATATTGATCTAATTGTATGGCTGCTTCATTACACTTTGAAGTCATCTTGTGTCTCAAGTTATAAAAAGTAGAGATAGATAGATAACAAAGCACTTTCTGACTTGAAATGTAATCACGGTCATTAGCAGCCATTTTGGTTGTAGCATTTTCCTTGTTAGAAATAATAGGACTCTGTATACCTGGCAGATCCGTCAGAATTGTGTGTCACTTGTCAATATGGGAAATTTTAAAACATTACTAAATAATCAGCTATTACTCGCTGTCATGGTTGACGTAAGATATACTCGTAAAAAATAGTGTAGATAAGAGTTGGAGTAAAAATGGCACAGACCTTACACGATATATATTCTCATTTTTTAATATGTACTCAGTTATGATCCGCTCTTTTTCCACTCATATAACCTATCCATCGTTCAGCCGTCGTTTTAAATGGAGAATCGTCCTCTATCGTACTTAAGAGCAATAGCTGGTTGACATGAGTTGCATGGTAATCCCACCTGAAAAAAAAATTTAAAAACAAGTGGCATCAGTTACTGCTAATCAGCCAAATATCACGCTTACTCGATCAGTGAAAAACAACATCCAAATGCATAAAAATATATGTTTACCCCTCAAAATTACCTGCTGGCAGTTCAACCGCAATTTTAACTTTAGTCAAATAAATGTCATGTTGACAATTTAAAAGGCATTGGTAAGGGCCAACTACTCAAGACACCGCCATGTGGGCAGCCTTTGAAGTAGTAGAAAGTAAGTGAGTTCTAAAAGGTCCTGAAAAAAGGGATCAAGGCAACAGAAATCAATCATTATTTTACTTTGAACTTTGAGTGAGTGAGTATTATGTAAAAATGTTCAACATGTCCTACCATACTGAATTGTCATTACGGTTCATTGTTCTAGCTCTTTAAAGTGTGTCTGTAAAATATGAAACCCTCATAAGACACAGGACAAATAGTTATTAAGAATGTAACATCTCGTAAATTTAGTGCTTTCTATAATTTGGCGTCAATTAGGGGGTCATTCCTGTGATGTATGCACAGTTAAAACGCTTTTTGAAGAAATCATATGCTTCGAATTTCGTACCACGTCCTTGGTGTTTTGTTCAAAGAAAGTGTGATTACAACTTTATAGGACTTCTAACATAAATGTGAATATTGAAATATAAATATTATAAATAGCAGTTTCATAAGTAAAACTTATGAAGCAGGCTGTTAAGTTCTCCAAATACTGCTTCCTCTCCAATTTAGAGACATTTTGCGTGTCTAATGACTGTTTGTTATATTATATGCGAATAATAAATAAACAGTTAAGAAAACCATTTTCAGGACAATCCTGCGGAAAGATTAATCAAACTAACAAAAATAGAAAAGCAGGTGATTCTATCTAAAGGAAAAAACAACAATAAAAAGAATCATAAAACATATTTCACTCAAGTGAGAAACATATCAAAAATTAAGTAATTCCTAGCTACTACCAAAATACTGTTCAAATTTTCAGCATGTATATCACATTCATTGGATATAGATATACAGGGTTATCCAAATTAAGTGTCCACCATTAGTAACTTTGTTATTAGTGAAAATACAAAGTTGTTTGAATTAGCAAACTAGTAGCATTTTTAACGCTGGTAAAAATGAGAAATAAAAAAAAACAATTGAGAGTCGTTATTTTGATTTTTTTCAGTAAAATAACATTTTTTTAAATGGAAACCCCTGTATATTATATTTTTTTCTGTTAAAGCAACAAATTTTAAACAAAAAAGTTCATAATGACTTTTCCGCTAAAGTCAAAAATAAAGTCAAAATAACGATAAATATTTTTAATTATTTGCAGTATTATAATATTAAGACGGCTATGAAAACAACATGGTGTTCGCGATTTGACAGCATTAAGATGAGCGACAAATTGTTAAACTGGACATACTCGCAACTAGAAGGCTTTGGAAAACAATGATAAAATCAAATAATGTCAAACATTAGTGTAAATACTTGTTTATAAGCTTTATTGTGTCATTAATTTAAAGAAAAATGTTCTCCCATGAAGAAAAGTGTGATATGTTAGAATGCTATTTAGTGTGCAGAAAATCCTCCTTGAGAGCAAGAGAATACTACAGTGAATTATATCCCGCTCGCATTCAACCGTATGAACGATATTTTCTGAGACTTTATCGAAAATTTAGGGGCAACGAAAATGTTTTTGCTAAAACAAGGGCAAAAAAAGAATTCATAATAAGCGAGGCCACGGAAATTGCAGTTATTGGATATTTTGAAGCTTATCGTGAGAATTCAATAGCAGATATTCTCAAGGACTCTAATTTCAGTTATGGTACTGTTCAAAGGATTTTAAAAAAATACAAATTTATTCCGTATAAGTACCGACCAGTTCAAACGCTTTTGGCAGGGGATCCAGAGAGAAGACTTGTTTTTTGCCATTGGTATCTTAGCTTCTGTCGCCAAAATGTAAATAACTTTCGTTACCTTTTATGGACAGATGAATCAAATTTTTCAAATTCTGGAATGTTTAATAGAAAAAACCACCATTATTGGTCAAGAGAAAATCTTTTGTTAGTACATCCAAGAGGCCCACAAGTCCGTTTCAGTTTCAACGTTTGGTGCGGTATAATTGGTTCAAAAATTGTTGGCCCGTTCTTTTATGAGGGAACCCTAACTGGTGAAAGATATGTGGAATTTATGTCAGAAATTCTGACTAATTTCTTAGACGAATTGGATCTTATAAGTAGACATCATCTGCATTTTCAGCAAGATGGCGCACCTGCCCACAACTCCAGAGGTACTTATCATTTTCTCAGTACTACTTTTAATGATCAGTGGATAGGAACAAATGGCCCAATACAGTGGCCTCCCAGATCACCAGATCTAAACCCACTTGATTACTTCTTGTGGGGTTACTTAAAGAACCAAATTTACAAGCGAAGGTACGATAACCTTGACGCGTTAAAGACTGCAGTTAGGGAAAAGATAACCCAGATAGATGGTAGGACCATACTTAAGACAGTTCGAGCAGTTGAAAAACGTGCCCAAAAATGTATTGAAGAACAAGGTGGTGTTTTCGAGCATCTTCTTTAAAAAAAATTGTTATTGTATTTTGTAAGATTATAAGTTGATGTTGAAAATAAAGTTTGTCGATACAATTTAATTGTTTCAGATTGGAGGCCATAACTTCAACAATTTGTAACCTAGGAGAAAAGTTATTGTAAGCTTTTTTGTTTAAAATTTGATGCTTTAACAGAAAAAAAATATAATATACAGGGGTTTCCATTTAAAAAAATGTTATTTTACTGAAAAAAATCAAAATAACGACTCTCAATTGTTTTTTTTTATTTCTCATTTTTACCAGCGTTAAAAATGCTACTAGTTTGCTAATTCAAACAACTTTGTATTTTCACTAATAACAAAGTTACTAATGGTGGACAAATGAGAAATAAAAAAAAACAATTGAGAGTCGTTATTTTGATTTTTTTCAGTAAAATAACATTTTTTTAAATGGTAACCCCTGTATATTATATTTTTTTCTGTTAAAGCATCAAATTTTAAACAAAAAAGCTTACAATAACTTTTCTCCTAGGTTACAAATTGTTGAAGTTATGGCCTCCAATCTGAAACAATTAAATTGTATCGACAAACTTTATTTTCAACATCAACTTATAATCTTACAAAATACAATAACAATTTTTTTTAAAGAAGATGCTCGAAAACACCACCTTGTTCTTCAATACATTTTTGGGCACGTTTTTCAACTGCTCGAACTGTCTTAAGTATGGTCCTACCATCTATCTGGGTTATCTTTTCCCTAACTGCAGTCTTTAACGCGTCAAGGTTATCGTACCTTCGCTTGTAAATTTGGTTCTTTAAGTAACCCCACAAGAAGTAATCAAGTGGGTTTAGATCTGGTGATCTGGGAGGCCACTGTATTGGGCCATTTGTTCCTATCCACTGATCATTAAAAGTAGTACTTAGAAAATGATAAGTACCTCTGGAGTTGTGGGCAGGTGCGCCATCTTGCTGAAAATGCAGATGATGTCTACTTATAAGATCCAATTCGTCTAAGAAATTAGTCAGAATTTCTGACATAAATTCCACATATCTTTCACCAGTTAGGGTTCCCTCATAAAAGAACGGGCCAACAATTTTTGAACCAATTATACCGCACCAAACGTTGAAACTGAAACGGACTTGTGGGCCTCTTGGATGTACTAACAAAAGATTTTCTCTTGACCAATAATGGTGGTTTTTTCTATTAAACATTCCAGAATTTGAAAAATTTGATTCATCTGTCCATAAAAGGTAACGAAAGTTATTTACATTTTGGCGACAGAAGCTAAGATACCAATGGCAAAAAACAAGTCTTCTCTCTGGATCCCCAGCCAAAAGCGTTTGAACTGGTCGGTACTTATACGGAATAAATTTGTATTTTTTTAAAATCCTTTGAACAGTACCATAACTGAAATTAGAGTCCTTGAGAATATCTGCTATTGAATTGTCACGATAAGCTTTAAAATATCCAATAACTGCAATTTCCGTGGCCTCGCTTATTATGAATTCTTTTTTTGCCCTTGTTTTAGCAAAAACATTTTCGTTGCCCCTAAATTTTCGATAAAGTCTCAGAAAATATCGTTCATACGGTTGAATGCGAGCGGGATATAATTCACTGTAGTATTCTCTTGCTCTCAAGGAGGATTTTCTGCACACTAAATAGCATTCTAACATATCACACTTTTCTTCATGGGAGAACATTTTTCTTTAAATTAATGACACAATAAAGCTTATAAACAAGTATTTACACTAATGTTTGACATTATTTGATTTTATCATTGTTTTCCAAAGCCTTCTAGTTGCGAGTATGTCCAGTTTAACAATTTGTCGCTTATCTTAATGCTGTCAAATCGCGAACGCCATGTTGTTTTCATAGCCGTCTTAATATTATAATACTGCAAATAATTAAAAATATTTATCGTTATTTTGACTTTATTTTTGACTTTAGCGGAAAAGTCATTATGAACTTTTTTGTTTAAAATTTGATGCTTTAACAGAAAAAAATATAATATACAGGGGTTTCCATTTAAAAAAATGTTATTTTACTGAAAAAAATCAGAATAACGACTCTCAATTGTTTTTTTTTATTTCTCATTTTTACCAGCGTTAAAAATGCTACTAGTTTGCTAATTTAAACAACTTTGTATTTTTACTAATAACAAAGTTACCAATGGTGGACACTTAATTTGGATAACCCTGTAGATGCATACTTTCAAAAATAAGTTTGAGCGAGCCCTGTCACAATAAGAGGTGTTACTGCTACAAGTTCGAACAGATGGGACTTAAAGTTTAGTTGAGCCAAAATCTAATTAGCATCAATTTGATAGTGCAGCAGTTTATGCAAGAAAATAATTGACGCACACTAACTTCTCAGCTCAAAAGACAGCATTTGAAACCTAGACAGTAACAAACTTTCAGAGCTCAGGATATGCTTCGTCAACCTTGAAAGATAACAATTTTGAGAAGCTTTCTCTCAACATACTCTAGAGAATCAATGTAGCAGTTGTAAATTGTGACTCTGGGGGGCTGAAGCTTCTGCAGTTTCTCACAATAAAACCATACGCCAGTGAAGCTTCACTCAGCTTTTGAGCTATATGGAGTGAAAAATTGAGTTTATGGTCAAAAACTACGCCCAAATCATTAATTGAGTCACAAAGATTTATGTAAGCATCCCCAAACTTATTGAAGCTAAAAATACAAAATTCAAATCAACTTTTTTTCTGTCCGGCACCTTTTATTTGAGCAACGCCCTATCTAGGACGTGCCCCTCTCCATTAACAAAGTAAACGAATCAAATCGCTGGACCCAAATCAAAATGGCTGCACCCTGTCACTTGTTCAAAAATTACCTATTGTTTACATGCAGCAAGTCTTTACGTACCTGGCAAGATTTGGAGAAATTCCTAGTGTGAAATGCCTAAGATCGTAGACAGTGACACTGCCCATATCAAAAAGGGGCAGCATTGCCTTAAGTGAGGTTATTCCTTCAGTGTAAAGCGATTCCGCCTCCTGCGCGTGACCGTGCGGTGAAATTGACATCAGGTCGTACAATCCCAACAGAGAATAGATGAAGCCGTTTAACACGAACAGGGATGGTTTCGTCGGATATTCTTCATACCTACACAAAATTGATAATTAGTAAGTTCGGAAGTAACGCAATTGAGAAAAATCTCAAATGTTTGTGACTCTTTCCACTATACAGGGTGTCCGCAAAGTTGGGGTTTTCCTTTTCAGAAACTACCCTTGAAATAACAAAGGTAATGTGTAGTGAAACGAGGGCGACCAAGTAAAAAAAAAATAAAGGAAAAAGTACTCACTCTCCAGTTGACGAGAAGGGCTAAGTACGTCTCTGCCTGAAATCGAAAGTTATTTACCCCATTACGCGTGAACGTAGATTCGTCTGTCACCAATATGCACTTCAAAAAGTCCGGATTACTGTCATGTTGATGCAACAACCACTCACAAAACCGCACTCTTGCTGGAAAATCGTCAGGTTGAAGGGCTTGTACACGTTGGACGTTTGCCACACTTTAGTTTTTGATACATGCACTTCTCTAGCTACGTCTCTAGTGCTTGTTGAGGGATTCTCGTCTACGCGATTCAGTAGTTCTTCCTCAACATGCACCATTCGTGGTTGTCTAGGCCTCCCACTGTGCCCACCTCGAAGTTCCTCCAAATGGCCCGTATCCCTGACTCTCTGATACACAAATCTGCGGGGCCTTGGATGATGTCGTCTAGGGAAACGATCTGCATACACTCGCGACGATTCTGTATCATTTTGAAGACATTCGCCATAAATTAACAACATATCAACGAGTTCATTATTGGTGTATGAGTGTGCCATTATTATTTTTTTTTTGAAACGCAATCGATTATACGGGTTCGTTACCTCTATACGCGTGACCCTTTACCGTCGGTTGAAGGTTGCAGACTGACCTGACACACTGACCCCGACACCCGACCCAGTTCTGTCGTCGGGTTCAGCTAGTAGCCGGTACCAGTCTGAGATATCGCGGGTCGCGGCTACAGGACGGTATTCAGATATTTTTGATGTTGCAGAGCCCTTTATCTCGGTTCCCTCAAGACATTTGTGTATATGGTACTAAGAAAAATTGCTTATGTTTTCAAGATCTACACGACGTGTAAAGGAAAACCCCAACTTTGCGGACACCCTGTATATATATATATAAGTATATATATTAGTAGCCCTCCTTTTGCAATTTAGTGACCCACCGCACAAGCGAAAAAACCGATTTTTCTCAAATGTCAAAAGGAATGTCCAAAAGGAAATTCTATCTCACAAGCACGGAACATGTATCTAGAAGTCCAATTTCAGTGTTCTATGAAAAATTTTGATTGCCATCGGTGCATTTCTAAAACTTTGCTACTAAAGAAGAATCTTGAACCAAAATTCGCCAATCCCCAGAAAATATAAAATCAATCTAGTGAGCCCAAAATATCTCTAATATCCGTGTTACATTGACACTAAATCCATGAATTTCTTCATGAATTGTGGCCAAATTTCAAAAGCATAAAACAGGAATTCGACGTCAAATAAATCCATGAAGTCCTTCATGCAATTAGAACTTGTTCTAATTTTCGCCAAGTTGGTCATCAAATTCCATGCTGGCAACATTATTTTCCTTTCCATTATATCAAAAAAGCTTTCAATTCAAGCACAGAACTTTGGTAGAACTACAGTATTCAACAGTGAAGCTTTTGTTTACGAGATTTGCCTCTAAAAATAAACCACAATACATATAAAAACTCGAAATGTTTCTAGCAAGAATTTGTTGTGTGGAAGGCAGCACTGCCTACTGTCAGATAATCCATGAATTTGTCAATTGGTATAAACACCGCAAAACATAATCAGAATAACCTTGAGGAAATTCCTCGGAATACATTCGTGAAGAAATTGTTGATATAAAACTGGTAGAAAGCACGTTCCGAGAAGTGGTAGAAGAGAAGGAAAGTTAGAAATCTCATATCACTTTGACAAATGGGACGCATTGACATATGAAGCGACATTAAGTGAGGTGAGATTATCTAAGAAACTGGACAAACTGGAAGCTACTTGACTTATGAATTGCCTGGTATTAACCTTGATAAAATTACTACTACTAAATGACAAAAAGCACAACATTGCTAGATAGGCTGGGCAGAATTTCGCCAGAACAAGCACAAAAATCCTTCAGAACTTCTACTTTTTCAAAAAAAATCCCCCAAGCTACAGTTAATTAATGGAAAGGGGTAGGTTTGCCTCAAAGAGCGAGATACTTTCTATCTGCGAAACGTTATTTCCCCAGAATATTATATCCCCAAAAAATTCCCAAAGTAAAAATCCCCCAAATTTGGGGGCAACAATTCATTGTTTGTTACTATGTTATTTATACGTCACACATAAGTTTCCCCGTACATTTTCCATTAAAACTTATAAAGTTAGAGAAATATTTTCAACATGCGTCGCGGTCTGACCGCCAAGTGACGAGATTAGCCCTAGCAACGTTGCAAGATGGTACTGTCGGTAGGGCGAAATTGCTAGATCTCAATATTGGAGCGACTGACTATTTAATTAGGCCAGTTTGACTGACTCCCATTTAATTTTTTATGCTCATTCGTAGCTAACTTTTTTCTTAGAGGGTCTAATGAACTGATAGTGTTGCATGGAAAGTTCAGAGTCAACCTACATGGCTTCATTTTTAGTGTGAAAATGCTACTACTCACCAAGTATACTTGTCAAGAAATATAGCTCTGACGCCACCTTCTGAGCTGGGAACATTGAATGGCTTTAGGCCTTTGAGTGCAGCTGTTAAGTAACGAATGTCACCACCAGAGTGATAGTAAGCCCTTGACAGCACAGAAATTGCCTGACCTTGACTCATTGCAGAGTACCAGCCTAAAAAAATCAGTGGCGTCAATAGAGAGTTATCATCAATAGATATGGTGATCATATCACATAAAGAGGTATTGAACTTTCTTTTAAAAACTTTCACAGATTTGTCAAAATACCGTGAGGCGCTGTTATCACCAAAAGCAACCATTGCTTTTGTGTTCCCCCACAGGCAACTTCCAATCACTTGACAATTTCGTTTTGGGCGGTATATAAATAGACAATTTTGGTTCTTAATAGCCCTGAATGAAGGAACAATTGTATTAACAACGTATTTCACAAATATAGTATAGCCAGAACAATCAATGAACATATGTAGTTTCTTTTATTCAGCAATAAAAATTCGAATACATAACAAACAAACGAGTGCACACACCTTGTACACAAACATATTTCTTAGTCTAATAACTACTTATTCCACTGGTTAACGTATTTAACCTGAAGCCAGTCAATCATATAATGTATTCCCGAGCCCAAAAAGGGATTTGCAGGATCCTGGCGCCAACTACGTGACAGCTGCAGAAGACGAAAATTAATCTAAAAATCCACTTTGAAAAGAGCTGGAGGTGTTTGGTTCTGCTAGTATCTCATAGGTAGCCCTAGAATCTTTCCTCACTTTGTGACGCCCCTCTAATGCCTATTTTAGAAGGGTATCTTCTTAAATTAATCGCTTCAAAGAACACAAATACTAGTACATGATGGAGAGATAATTTTACCCAATGAGCAACTGCAAGCAAACTAACGGCGGCAGCGCAGTCACCGTTGAGCAACTGATCGTGCTGCCATCTCTTTGGTGAGAACGTGTCTATATAAATACAGGTGCTGAGTCGGGTTGCCGTCAGATTCCCGATGTCACTTGCTCTCGGTGAAAACTATTGATACAGTAGTCTAATTTTATAAAGGGTTAGTAATCTGACCTGGTTGAAGTTCGTTGAAACCAGGTGCCACTCTTCTCCTAGCGTAAATCTGCCATCCACCAGTCTCTCTATCTTGATGCCTAACAAACCACTCTGCAGCATCATAGAACTGCTGGATGTGCTCTGAAGATGACAATGTCAAGTTGTCGATAGACCCAGAGCCCCTCAAGGTCATACAGATTATCTTCAGCTTGGACCGAGGTAATTTCTGTTTGGACCTGTCCTTGTCTAAGTAACTGAGGCCTTTTTGGAGATCGATAATCAAATCTCGAGTCAACGTTTTCCATTCCTGGGATGTACCAATACCGTGATATATGTTGTTATCCTATAAAAAAATATTGAAGTCATGCTTTTATATCTAAAATGCCAATATTTAACAGGCGGAGCTCATGTGCGATTGGTAGATGACACGTATAAATAGTTTACAAAGGAACACACTAGAGACAGCGCAAATTCAAGGAAGGGGCCTTCATATGAATGAAAATCCAGTTAAAGCTGTATGGCTATCGATCGTAAGGAAAATCAAAAACTACAACTCAACCAACCGGAACGAGGGACATATGTCACAACCAACCACGGGCCACGTCATCATACAATAGGCAAAAATTAAAATAAAAATAAATAGGCAAAAAATCAGCATCTTCGCCAGTTCACCTGATGACAATTCGGAGGAACAACATTTGAGATCAAACTAAAATCAGTGTGAAAACAATAATTTTAATTTTCGCGGTTGGCAAGTAAACCTATCACCAATATTTTCTATAAAATTAATGATTAGAGAATTTTCAATGAGATTTCTGTGTACGTACATCATGCGAAGTCCAGAAAGTCTATCTTCAGACATTGTTGACCACGCCAACTACTGACACGCCGAAAAGTATTGAAGGATCTTTCTACCGTCTATGTTCTAATGAATGACGTTAGTCTTATTTCAATGGCAACAGCAGGTAACGCAAGATCGCAATAAAAAAATGGATGTCAATAAGGGTGCGGCGGTACTCAATTGGACCAAGCGCATCGCGAATTTGTATAACATGCAATAACATTTATAATAAAATAGGATGTATTCTGGTAAATATACAAACAGTATTTACTACAGAAAAATATTAATTCAATAACTTTTATATCGCTTGCCTTCCCCCCTTGCCGACGACCCTCATTGCAGCTTAGCTGCTGAACTTGATACGTGAAGTGTCAAAATATCATTTTTGCAATTATTTGATGGCAGACAAGTCTTGAACTTTTTGTTTTTAAATCATAACAACCATATTATACAGGATGAGATTTTAGTGTGGGCTGGGTCGATAACTCTGTTATTATGCTAGGTATCTAAAAAAGATGGATAGAAAAATTGTATCTATCACTAAGCTCCTGATTTGGAAAATATTTTTATCTGGTCAGGGTGATTCATAACTACGTGGTTACCTAAACACACGTTTTTTAAATGGAAAACCCTATATTTTGTTGCAGATTTGGATATGCTCTTTCAGTCTAAGCATTTTGATATAACATACTATAGGGTTTTACTTCTAAATTGTTTTGATACTTCCCAGTCTGTAGAAAACAAACACTCACATTTGACAACCCATTAAAGAACTGAATTTTTCCTCCGAAAAAAATTATGATCCCATATTTTGTTTCTGTCTACTTGCTTTTTCAGTTATGTTGATAGGTTCAGGGTAGTCAAGAAGCAAAATACACAATTTCTCAAGGAACACCCTGTATATTTTAACACTTTTGATTCCCCTTTTCAAAATCTCTTTCTGATATAAGGTGTATCCTATGAGTAGTTTTTGAGTTACCAGAAATACAGGGACACCTTCTTGACTTTACAACTTTATTATATATAGGCTGGTTAGAATATGAATATACACCAATTTTAACGATCTACCGTTGAGATTTTTTATTTTGAAAAGTAGTTTATTTTGCCTTCTCGACCACCCTGTAAAAACTAATAAAAAAACTGAAAAAGCAAGTAGACAGGAACAAAATATGGGATCGTAAATTTTTCGTCAGAAAAATTCAGTACTCCAACTATAACAGTTGTGGAGGTGCGAGCTGTCAAAGTTGTGTGTTTTTTCGATAGATTGTCCAATATCTGAGCAATTTGACAGGAAAACAATATAGTATATGTTATATCAACTTGCTGCAATAATGTAGGGCTTTCAATTTAAAAGAAAATATGTTTGGGTTGCCACGTAGTCATGAATCACCATGTAGACTATAAATATTTTTCAAGTAAGGAGCATAATGTTGTCTAGAATATTTGTAATTAACTTTTTTAGATACGAGGGCTGTTTGATAAGTCAGTGACTTTTTAAATGAAAAGTGTTTTTCGGCAAATCGGCATTTTATTTCTCAACATAATCTCCTTTTAGATCGATACATTTAGTCCAGCGTTTTTCCAATTTCTTAATTCCTTCCGAATAGTAGTTTTTATCAAGGCTTCCAAAATATGCGTTTGTTTCAATGATGACCTCTTCATTCGACCCAAATTTCTTACCACCTAGCCATTTTTTCAGGTTTGGAAATAGGAAGTAGTCGCTGGGGGATAAATCTGGAGAATAGGCTGGATGGGGCAGCAGTTCGTAGCCCAGTTGATGAATTTTTGCCATCGAGACTACACACGTGTGTATCCGTGCGTTGTCTTGATCTAACAGCATTTTTTTGCCAACTGCGGTCGTTTTCGCTTCAAAGCAACGTTGAATCTGTCTAACAGCTCTGAATAGTACTCTCCCGTGATCGTTCTGCCCTTCTGAAGGTAATCGATGTAAATAATACCGCATGCGTCCCAGAAAACTGTGGCCATAACCTTGCTGGCTGACAGACCCACCTTGGCCTTCATTGGAGCACGCTCGCCATTTGAAACCCACTGTCTTGATTTTTTTTTTGGTTCTGGTGTATTGAGATGAATCCATGTTTCGTCTACAGTTACAAAACGGCTCAAAAATTCGTTCGAATTGCGGCTTAACATCGCCAAACATTCCCTTGAAATGGTCACACGGTTGCGCTTATGGTCGACTGTGAGCAATCGCGGCGCCCATCTCGCGGATAGTTTTTTCATGTCCAAGTATTTATGTAATATGTGATGTACCCGCTCAGTAGAGATGCCTACAGCCTCAGCTACTTCACGTATTTTTATTCTCCGATCTTCCAATAACATCCCATGGATCTTATCCACGATTTCTGGTGTGATGACCTCTTTTGGGCGACCTGAACGTTCAGCATCACTTGTGCTGGTTCGACCACAACTGAACTCAGTAAACCACTTCTTCACCATTGAAATAGATGGTTGTAGTGATGGTTTTTTTACGCAAAAAATAATGTTTAATTAGAACACGAAATTCACTTTTCTCCATTTTTGAGACTGTTTACTTTCAATGGCTGTCAAACTCAAATGAAATAACATAGCTTGTTCAAATTTTGACAGTTGTCATATAAAAGATGGCAGTTGACGGCAGCAGTGTTGACTTATCAAACGGCCCTCGTATGATGCGTAATAATGAAGTTATTGTCCAAGCCCGCACTAAACATTCACCCTGTTCATTCCTATCAGACACATATGATAGAGAATATCATCCATGAAAACACCAATACCTGTACAGTGATCCAAATATCCGAGCAGATATAATGCAAGTAGTACAATTCCTTGGTCTCCCTCTTTTGCAGCGTGACAGTAAAACTGCTGTTGCTACTAAGTATAATGTCTAGCCGCATTACGAAGTACATAACATGGTCCATTCGAAGACGAATGCCTTCTAAGTAGTTCTCGCTAGTAACAAATTTTAATATCCTACTTTCTACTGATGAGTCATAAGATCTTTCTAGTTTGGCATTCACTGGTACAATCCATTTTGCTAGGTCCTTTTCTGAGTCGTCAATGACTTTCCGTCTTGGTTCTGGCTCTAGAAATCAACAGAAATATCTGTTCAAGCGCATTTTTTGTCGAATATCGAAAAGTGACTCTTAAAATTACTGAACCAAACGACATTTCTACATCACTGGACAGTAATACCGTCCAGCAGGGCTATTACTTAAAAAACCTACAAAACGTCAAAAAACCGACAAAATGTCAACTTGATGCCTAGATAGTTCCTACGAAAAATCAGCATCACACCTGTGTTCTGTGTAATTAAGCCACATCACAGAAAAAATAGGAATGACGCATCACATACAAAACATTTTCGCCATATTTTAACACCTCTTAGTTTTAATACACTTCACGAACCAGGTATTTTCTTTTCTTACCTCTCACATTTTTAAAATTTATTTTTAGCTTTGCATACATCTCAAGTAGGTGTAATTGAGACAAGAAATCAATGGAATTATCAGCAACACATCATTAGCACACAAATCTTTACTATGCACTGCCGTTTCCTTCCAGCTATAGTGTACAACTTACAGCTTACACCTCCAATAATGCCATCTCTGAAGCAGATGTTACATCACATCAGAGCCAAACATTGATAGCTGAAGCATGACGTTTAGGCAACACGTACAGCTACAGAACGAGTCTACAACAATAGTACAACAGCTAGTGCTAAGTTGACATCTTGTAGAAAAAAGCTATATAATGTCACAAGAAATGACATAATGTCACTTTTCAAGATATCAAATACCCCTGCCGGTCGTGTGTTGAAGGTCACTGGAGAGAAATATTCTGAAGGGACACTCACCTGTCAAGTTTTTGCTGTAATGTGAAAGTCCAAACTGTGCTATTTGTGTGGGATAATAATACCCCTGACTATCCCATTGGGTTGAGACAGGCACTCCTTCTATTGCACTGACACATTTCACTCTTTCCCTCACCTCAACATTGTAGTTTTCAAAGTACATGAACACACCTTTGGGGTCATATTTAGATTTGGGATGATAGATCTTGCTATAGCTGTGAGACCATTCGAATCTTTCCAGGCCATCATAGGTTGCTAGTTTTCCATAGACTTCAAAGTATCTGAGAAATGAAATAAATTATGCATACCTACTGGTAAATAATAAGTACAGTCCAGTTCAAAACATGACAATTAGACTAAACTCGCGGCTTAGCTCGTGTAAAGTACAGGTAATTTGTTTTGCATTCGTGTGAAGGTAAAGGAGATTGGTGACGAAGAAAGATATGCAATATTCAAAGTAATGCAGTAATGCATAGGTGGTAGACGGTCTCTGACTGTCGAACAAGGAGGTACCACCCGGCGGATCTCGTAGGCGTGGCCAGAATGTATGCATGTTGCATCCAGACTTGTTCCCTCGCTAGGGTCAATATGGCGCCTCCCCCCTTTCCCCTGTATCCCCTATAGCTCCACAATACCACATGGGTGTTTAAGCTTTAGACCTTCGTGGTGGTTGGAGTATGAAAAATAGTTACTTGTTACTAGTTTTTGTTTTTATTATTATTTATGCATTTTAATGCAAGAATAATTAATATCAATAATTCGCTTTTTTACATCTTCGACAAAAAGTAAGGAGTTTACTTGGAAATGTATCTGTTCTTAAAATAATCTTAAAGGTTAGGGTCAGGTTCATTAGTAAGGGTATACTCGAGCTTAAAAGTATCTGCAATTTGCATTTCATAAATGATTGATGTTTCCCGTTAAACATTCATTTGATCTCAAAATGAAAATAGTACTTGAACATAAAGTTTCTAGTTCTTTTTATTTTCAATGTCAAAATAGGTATATCCTTTTAAGAAAACTGTCTTGACCTTCATATGAGCGTGAAGGATATAGTCAAGGTCATCATCATATGAATCTTTTTAAAACTTTGTTCTACAACATTTTTCTGTAGGAAACGTATTTTCGAGATACTTTGATTTATCAATACTTTTCAAACACTGCGCAGATAAAACCTTCATCGGGTTTCAATTAATAATTGTACGAATTTTGACGTGTCTCTGCATTGTGGTTCAAACATATTGCTGAGAGACTGGACATGGACTGGACAGACATACACATTTATAGATATAGATTACAAATGCCAATGTAAAGTTAACAATTACTATTCATTCCGTCTGTCATCGTGGTTCATAGGACCTTTGCTTTTGGTTAGAGAATTGTGGATCATTAGGTCTGTCAGGTCTAGTTGTCCAAGTGGCAGACAAAGGCAAGTAAAAAGAAAGAAAAATGGAACGAAAGGGAAATTATATAGGAATGTCGTCTTGGTACACGCACATTGCGGGAAGGAAATCGAACTCTGGAAAATTTCGAAACTGATATTTTTCGATATTACATGATATTTACATTATGGTAAACCATGTCACTGCCGTCAGTATGTCTGTCTGGCTACTGACCCTGATTTGGATATCGACGAAATTTCGACACAGGGTTATTACTATGCCAAGGACGTAAGACCTTTATAGCTTTTGAAAATCGGTGTAGTGGCGGCGTATCTACAATAAAACAGGAATAAACTTAAAACCGCTCAAACTTCATTTTGCATACATTTGGAATTTTTTGAAGGCTAAGAATTGGAGTGGGGTTGCAGAGGAAAGGTTTTTTGGTGTTAGTACGTCGGACGCAAGGAAATCAGCACATAATCCCCTACGGAGCAACTGCTGGCTGGCAAGGTTTTATCATTGAATTTATTATTGCAATGCTGTCAGTAATTGGTAATGTAATGTTGATAGGACAGAGAAAAAATGTCTACATGCAACTCTGTCAAATGGATGGGAACTAATTATATTGACCTATTTGACGGTTCGATCTATTTAATTTCATTTTTATAGATGTCTATAGTCAACTATTCTCTCAAAGCAGCTATCTTGAGCTAAACATAATCTTTTATGAACTGATGACAGTGTTACATGTAAAGTGCAGAGCCCTTGAACCAATTTCAAATCTACAACTCACCTATGTAAAAATGAAAATGGAATATAGACTTCTTCCCCTTCCTTTCTACAGCTTATAACATACTCTCCATTGATGTCACAGTCTATTTCATCAGCACCCTGTAAGTCCAATGCCTTAGGATTGTATTTAAGTCGCTGCCAGTCTTTTTCAGATGTTCCACATATGGAATATAGTACTACTATTGTCAGAACGCCTATTGACAGAAGGAATAACAGTGCAACTTTCACATTCAGTCGCATCATAATAAAAAATATAGATGCATCCTGAAACAATAAAAGGAATGATACTGTGAATCTAGAACTGCAAATTCCTCTTAGACATATCAACAATGACCTCTGCATTGAAAAAATATTCCACGCTTTGTGAGAGGCCCTAGAACAGAGAATAACCAAAATCAGGCAGAAAGAGAAACCAATGTAGACTATCTCGCAGCGAGGCATCCGGTATCGTTAATATGGGTACCGGGGCACGCTGGGATAAGGGGCAATGAGACGGCGGACACTCTGGCGAAGATAGGATCAGCCAGCAAGCTCGTTGGTCCTGAGCCAACTCTAGGAGTGAGCGCGCATAGAGCTAGGAGGAAAATGGAGACATGGGTTGCAAGGCAACACTCTCAGAAATGGAGAAGTATCTCCAGACATCTCCGCCAGGCACGGGAACTCATTGAAGGGCCCAGTGCTAAGGATGGACGTTTCTGCCTATCTCTGGATAGAGCCAACCTAAGGTTGCTGGTGGGACTGTTGTCTGGCCATAACACTTTAAGGCGCCACCGGCACGTGACGGGGGTGGCTGAGAATCCCTTGTGTAAACGCTGCGGGGTAGAGGAAGAGACCTCGGCGCACGTTTTGTGTCGCTGTGAAGCACTGAGCTACTATAGGCAGACTATACTGGGGTCCATTACATTGGACCCTCAGGACGTCAAGGAGCTTGGACTCAAGGCGATTCTCAACTTCGCTAAAAGGGCGAGGCTTGTGATCTGAGGAATGTAGAAGTGCATAAGGGCCCGCTTAAGCGGCCTATGCTTTGGCTCCTTATGGTGGCTGGAATACCTCTAATTTCAAGATTCATTCATCTTTAGTATAGTCGCATCATATCTTTTCACTGGAGAAGGAAGATTAAAATGACCTTACTTTGCAAGAGAAAACTTGAAGTTAATCAAAACTCACTACTAGAAGAAAAAAAGAAATACATTACCTAAAATGAACTTCAACGATGGGGTAATGACAAATGAAAAAATAATCTACACCTATTTCATAGAAAGTGTCAATGACATTGTAAGATCATTTATTAATTGTGATAAATTACTGTTCAAAATATGACAAATTTAACTGAAGTGTTCTACCATAACTCCTGTTTCGAAAGTTAAGAATTCTGAGTTGTACACCAATATGCGGCCGATAAATTTTCTGCCTGATGTTGAAAAAGTCTTTCACGAAATTATTTACGCACATATCATCAAATTTAGGGAATAGAACTATAACCAAATTTCAAGCTGGATTCAAGAAGAAACACTCAACTGAAACGGCAATACAAATGGTTTTAGCGGACTGGAGGGGAGGTATGGACAGTAGGAAACATACAATGACAATATTTTTAGACTTCAAAATGACCTTTGAAACTATTAACAGAGATAAATTGATTACAAAATTGCAACACAAAAATAACAGGATCTGCATTCAAAATTCTTCAAAACTACTTAATTGACAGAAGTCAAAAAACCAAAATTGGATCTACGTTATCAAGCTCAAAAAATATTTCAGTTGGTGTACCACAAGGTAGTAAACTGTAGATCCACTACTATTTATTTTACACATTAGTGGCATTTGTAATATTTTAGATTATTGTAAAGTTAAGATATTAGCAGATGATATATTAATATTCATATCAGATGAAAATATAGACACTGCTTTAAAAATACTAAATTCTGACTGACTGATGGCAAAAATCATAAACTGGTTAAATGTAAATAAACTAAAATTGAATGCTCCTAAAACCAAATGGGTTAGGATAAATGGCGAAATAATTGAAAATGTTGAATCAATTAAATATTCAGGTATATACAGGGTGTTAATAAAGTATGTAGACAAACTTTAACCTTCAAATCCTTGGTCAATTTGAAGATAAAATTTCCATATGAACATTGTTCTAAAAAATTATAAAAGAATGGAACATATTTTATTTTAATTACATATGCCCTATGGTGAATATCACATGATTTACAGTTGTTTTCAGACCCTCCATGTACATAGATACAGATAATGTTATCCAGTATTTTTTGAAAAAATAGCAAGACATTGATTTGTTTTGACTATTGACCTAAATAATTTTTTTAATACAATTATTCTACCACATTTACTATATTTTTCAACTATCTTGTTCACTGCCAATTCAGCTGTATTCTAAAAATAAAGCTATGAGAATAATATTGAATAAAAATAAGTACACCAAAATAAAATCTAGCCAAAAATTTTGTATCATATTTGGTTCTTTCCCTAAAATAAACGATCATCTTGTGCCACAACATTTAGAACACTACATAGATTTGAATATTCATTACCACAATTATTATACAAGAGAAAATATATATTTTCATTTACAGAATTGCAATAGTGAAATAGTAGTGAAGTTTTTTAAAAGTATGTAATTGTAACACTCATGGTAAATAAATCTTAAACAAACAAATAAATAAACTAATTATGCCAAAGGATTCTTCAACTATACTAAAAAAGTAAGAACCGTAGCTTTTGGCAAAAGCTTTTGTCGTTTCTACATGATACTGGAATTATGAGTAAAATCAGGTCATGGCATACATGTAATGGGTATATAATCAAAACAATCACAGTATTTGAGTCATATATGAATGCTATATTTGTACTCAAAGCTTCTATCTGATATACTATGTTGTTCTATATACGTTTATGAAAATTAGGACAACGCAAATTAAAGTAAACAAAAACATACATACCCTAGGCTCATAAATGTTGTGGCCCCGTGATCGGCCAAACTTGTTATCTTGGAAGAATGTCATTTATTAAATTACATTCTCTCTATGTATTTGCAGAAGATTAAATTATATGTTCTCATACAAACGCATGAACTTTTTGTTTATTGAACATCTCTAAAAACATATTTTTTATTGACACCACCTGACAACACCAATTTGGGTTTGTTTTTTGACATTTTATTGATTGTGTAACGTCATTTTTTCTGTCAGTGTCATCGACTGTATACTATAACTGAATCCTCGCAGAATACACGAGGTACACATAGTGAAAGCTTGTCTAAAGTTATAAATTGAAATTAAACTCATTACTTCCACTATTATCTTGAAATCACATTACCGTTGAATTTGGTGCTACTGGATTCCAAATTTTTAATCAACAAATATTAAACGTGTGCGAGTATGCTTCGAGTATTCCGATTCTTAGATGTCAAAATTCATATCTTCAGATGTCAATGTCATATGTATTATTGGTCAGTTGTATGGCAAATTGATAAATTGTAAAATTGTTAGAAATATTATTTTTTAAGCCCTACAAATAGTAATTAGTCTAAATTTCCAGTCATTAACCGAATTCATTATGACCTGCCGTAAACCCAACTAATTGCCAGTTTCGTTAGCATTATTTGCGACGGTAAGTCACTGAAATAAACAAGGGCATCAACAACAATTTTTGCAAATTGCTCAATAACAGCAATGATTCAAGAAGTGGCATCTGAAGAAACTGAGCCAGAAGACATTAATAAAACTATATTAGTGAATACCTTCAGTAAAGAAACACGGAGATTGATTTCAGACTTGCTTAATCCCAAAAAGCTGATACCAACAGATGAAGGCTTTTTGAGGTATGTATTTATCTGCCTAGAACTATGATAAAACAATATTTTTAATCCATAGTCGTCTTTATTGTTTTTGCTAAATGCAAAGATGCATGAGCCAAATATTGTTATAGTTCTAAAGTTACATTAATGTAACACATGAAACCTATCCTGTGGTTTTTCATATTGATATGTCTCCATAATCTAACGAAATGAAACTATGTATGTATTGAATACCTTTTACTGATTTTTCAGCCACCACAACTTTGAAAAAGGTTACTGTGATATCAGAAATATCAGTATAAAGTGTTCATTACAATATGTGGTTTCCATTGGCCATGAGATCATAGAGTTCTATTGCATTACATTCTTACATCATGCTTGAATATGATAGTGTTTCATGTTTCATTATAAGAATTGAAGACACAAGTGGATAAAGGTGTCATGTAACATTTTTTTTAAAAATGGCTTCTTTTGCAATAAACTAACCCTAGGGAGTGATTCTTTCATTCTGTGATTACTTTGTTGCAAGAACAAGATAACAAACTAATTAAACTAAATATTTAAAGTAAAAAGTCTCGATAAAAAATGTTTAAAGTCAGTTTTTTCCATGCAGTAATTTTGTTACATGACACCTTTATCCACTTGTGCCTTTAATTATGACTGAGACTTTTTAGCTTGCAGTGTCTTCACACTAATATATGAAAACCAATCAATTGGTAAAAACATCAAGTAACTGAATAGTTATTATATTTTAGGGATTGGCATGGATTGGCAGAACTATGTGAGATCCCTGGTGAACATATACCTAGTCTTGAAAGGGATACTGATCCTTGTAACAAAATCTTAGATATATGGCTAGAAAAGAAGGGAAATGAAAGTACAATAGAAGCTCTAATATCTTTCTTAGAAAGAATAGACAGATTTGATATTATTGATGACATCACACCTCTAGTTGGTAAGCACTCAGATTATATGAGCACCTCAAAAAACAACAGTCAGCACCACATATTTGGATTATATGAAAACTGCTATTAAGTACTACACCATTATCTCTCTGCTAATGTTCTCTGATTTTTCAATGTGATCATCAGTCATATGTGTAATTGTTATATATGCTTTTAATATACTCTTGTAAAATTCATATTTTTAGAAAGAGATATTGATTATTATAAAAAATTCCCAAATGGCTACAAAGTACCTCCACCTCTAATAGATGACAAAGATGTATTAACCTATGATGATGTACTGAGGAAGAAAAGTGGCTTACCCCCTCAAATTTATGATGCATTTGTTTTGTTTGCTGAAGATGACATAGATTTTGCAGGTAAATTTATTTTATTATCAAAAATACAACCTGCAATCACTATCTTTATATTAAAAAAAATTTCCAGGACTCCTAGTAGAAACACTGGAACGTCAGTATAACTTAAAGCTTGTCTTGAAAAACAGAGATCTGGTTGTTGGAGTAATGGAGCATGATTCTGTGATCCAGCTGATATCAGATAGATGTAGAAGGATGATTGTGATTCTCTCTCCAGCCTTCTTAGAAAGCAGTGCTAATAGTTTTCTTTGCAGTTTTGCTCAACAACAAGGAATCAGTAAGTCCAGCATAATATGATAGTAATTTTTCAATGCATTGATTCTGAAAGCTGAATCACACATTTGCAAATCTTATCGAGCTGTCACTAATTCACATATTCACAACATTGGATGATTCTCTAAACCAATGCAGGGGGGTTAAAGAGCTTACAAGAAATTGGGGGGGGATGAATTGACTTTTGGGGGTGATGGAGTGGATAATTTTTGTTCTGCACTTTCAATTGTTACATGGATATTCACTCCCAGAAGCACTGATGCAGATGACACCTCCCCCCTTCTCTTGAATTTTCAATTGTTCAAACCGCTCTCCAATAGTCATAAGAGTATTGTACCACAATCTCTAACGCTCTGGAGCGGTCGTATAGGCCAGTTCTGGATGTACGAAGTTAAACACGGTTAGGATGGGAGGCTGAAGTCAGGCGAGTTAGCCTTTCAGGCACATCGCGCGGGCGGTATCATGGAGATCTCTGAGGAGCAAAGCCCATTGGTGTAGCGGTAGAAGAAAGCTAGATCACCAATGACCCAGCAGTGCAAAAGGGTCCTGAGACTGTCTGTTAGAGAAAGGTCACCGATCAGTTGGACAGCATCAAGCATAAATAATGTAGTTGGGGAGACAGCATCCCAAGCTTGTACGCAATACTCGAGGCTAGGTCTTATCTATATAGAGTGAGGATCTTATACTGAGAAAAGATACTTTTTAGCCCTAAACAAATAGCCTAGTTTTTTTCCAGCATCTGTCGCTATTGACGAGATGCGTTCGTGCCATATCAAATTCTCGGTGATCTGGACTCCGACCAGCCGGAATGAATGGCTCTTTGGCAGAACTCGGCCATCCATCGAAACTGGATGAGCGCTAGGACACTTTTTGTTTGTCAAGGTACAGTACAGTGTTTTGGAAGCACAAAACTGTACAGGATTGTTGTGTCCCCAAACAGTGATCACCTCCAGGTCTCTCGTTAAATAGGAAGTCATTGCTAGTCTTCTATTTTCCAGCTCTCAGGCAGAGATCAGGTTGTCGCTCTCAATTCCTGCATGTGGAGTCTGTGGATTGGTTGATCGTACAGAAAAGGAGGTCGTTGTTATGTAAGAGGAAGCCAAAACCAATCCCTGGGGAACTCACGCGTGGGATGAAGAGGAGAACCCCTCAATTACGACGGATATCTTGCGGTCAGAAGGAATGTCAGCCACCCAACTGCAAAGCTTCTCTGGGAAGCCATAGGATGGCAGTTTGCATGCCAAGGTTGATCGAACGCTTTCGTGATATCAATGAGCCTTGATCAGTTTACGACACAATTGCGTGACATAAGCTAGGAGGTCCCCTGTGGATCGCTGGTGCCAGAAACCGTTCTGCCACAGCTAATCAAGCCGTGGCGTTCGAGGTAGTCCAGAAGCTCACGATTTATGCACCTCCCCATCACTTTACTTTTAATAGAAAGCAGAGCTATAGGCCTGTAGTTGCAAGGGTCTGTCGTAGATCCTTTTTTTTGGGATGGGTTGGACATGAGCACCACTGCACACCTCTTCAATACAATGGCAGGAATCAAGTCTGGGCCAGAGGCTTTGTTGATATCGAGCTACGAGAAATCTTACGAGCTACTTACGGTGTTATGACTGAATGTTACTTCCTGCATAGTGTAGAGAACCCTTTGTATTGAAGACACTCGGGCGCTGGGGGGACGTCCATGGTGGAGTTGGCAGCAAAGATCTTGGCAAGCACTTCCGCCTCAGACACGTAAATGGTGGAACGCTACTCTGTGAGAAGTTCCTTTCAACCTGCTTTCCTGCGACTAACTTTTATATCGTGCTGGTCTTTGGCGTTGAGGACCGCTTCGTTATATTTGTTTCTGGACTCGACGTCGGCTTGTCTGTTCTCTACGGTGGGGTTTTGTAAGAAGGTTCGGTGTGCCTTGATCTTCTACTGGCGAGCAGCGGTGCACGATTTGTTGAACCAACTGTTGGACCCTGGTTGAGGCACTTTCACTGTATGAGGGATTTATTCCTCCATCCCGACATGAATAATTTGAGTTATCGATTAACAGACAGCCGACGCATCCGCATCAGCGAAACAAACATCTCTTCAAGGAAAGGTGGAGAAGAAGTCTCTGAGCCCCTCCCAGTCGGCATGTCCGTACTGACAAATTTTGCGGCCTGGGCGACTGTCTGCTGCCACAGCAGGTTTTGAACGATACCTAACCTGCCCAACACCGTGGTCTGACTTACCCACCATAGATAGGACAGCAGTGCTGTAAGGGACAGGATGCGCGGTCAGAAAGAGATCCAGCAGGCTACTGACGTGTGAGAAAACACGGGGGAAGGAAGTAGGGCTGGTTACCAACTAGATCAGCCCTTTGTGTAATACACTTTGAAGCAGCAGACGACTCCGTTGTAAATCCTCCCCCCCTCTCGCTCTTAAATTTTTGATCGCCCCGTGACTGAAATCTTGAACAACAGTTTCTGGAGAAGCTAGAAAATGATGAATTCCCAAGTGGGCAGAAGATGAAATAAGTTTGAGAGCCTCTGCTCTAAACCAAGCTTGGAGTTTGGAACATGAAGAACTAAATACAATGAAAACATTTTTTCATATATTTTTTTCTCGTTTTCTTGAAATATAATTTGAAACGCTAACTTTTTATTGCAGAACAAGGCGAACGTAAGATTATCCCATGTAAATATAAGGATTGTGAGCTACCTCGGGAACTGGGTGTTTACTTTCTGCTCGATTATTCCAGATCAAATAGGCTAGGCGATTTTTTTTACAAGCTGTATTTGTCAGTGGTAGATATGGATGCTTTAGTCAAGAATAAAAGGTGATTACTTCAGCATAATAAATATGCATGTAGACAGAGGATTATACAAACACATTGGATTATAGGAGAAGTTCTAAGCATTTTGATACAGATGGAAATACTGTAAAAATATACTGCTACAACTTGTGCAATCGGCAGTTCATTGCAGAAGTCTAATAGCCTATTGTATGCTTAACAATACTCATAATTGTTTCTTTCATTAGGTATTAGGTATTAGGTATTAGGTTTCTTATCTCATAATTTAATAAAAATTGATAAACAAAAATTACACTTCAACGTTCTGCATACTGGAGAAATAGTTTAAAATCCAAATGATCTCAAATATTACATCTATTGTTGCCTCTTTTCTTGGACACATCACTAGTTTAATGAGCATTAACTCTACAACAGCCTAACAGACTATATAGGATATCCTTAATGGTGTACTAGTACTCCAGGACATGATTCCTCATATAACTTTATGAAAAAAGTTTTAATGAACATATATATAGGGCCGTCTGTCACGATACGAAATTTTGTGCTAAATTTCTTACAAAATTAAGAAGTGTCGGACAATATTCAGTATATAATCTTGTATGAAACAATTTAGTGCAAAACGTTACAGAAACTGTTCAAAATAATATCATACCAACTGATAAATATGATTGTTTATATGCTTTAAAAAGCAAGGCCTATAAAAACAGAAAAGCCAAATAAGCTGCGTTGGATAAAATCAGAATGACTTAAGAACCAATTAAGCTTATAAGCGAGTGGATCCTGCACCAAGTTCTTTATTCAAGATATGGAGCACATACATGCCCTGCACGGTATCACGTATCTTGAAAAATGACATTATGCCGATTTTTTTTGACATTATGTAGGTTAGATGTTAACTTAGCACTTAGTTGTACGTGTTGCCTAAACGTCATGAGGCTTGTTACCAATCTTTGGCTCTGATGTCATGTAAAATTTGCTTCTGAGATGGCATTACTGGCGGTCCAAGCTGTAAGTTGTATGTGTTGATGATAATTGCATTGGGTTCTTGTCTCAAATACTCTTAATTGAGATTCAAAGCTAGAAATTTGTTGCGCATCCACTTTTTCTTATCCATTCTGGAAATTACAAATACAAATTTGCTGAATTTCAAAAATGAGAGAGATACGAAATAATTATATTCACTGTACAAGCCGTCATACAGTAATTACACACAACGCGGGCGCGGTGATGATTTCCCGTAATTCTCCTCAGTTTTTCGTAATTTATAACTTTGAACATAACCTCTCTTCAGAAAGCACAACATATAAAAAACCCGTCATATTTGGCATATTCAATAATAATTTTCTCACACAGCAAATATCACTGATTTTCTAGACATGCAGACCAATACACATAATGACCCAGATGCGATCTTGCTATTCAACCAACTTTCTTCTCAGATATAAAAACTACAGACAAGGACCATTTGGCCTCATAACACATATGCAACCGATCATGCGTGTAGTTTAGTTGAGTTATTCCTCCTTAGATGAACGTTCACAACGATCCTAGTGAGCAAACGTGGAATGACTGTTTGCGCCCTAAAAACTACCTAGTCTGCAAGATGACATCTTATAGGTTTTTTTGACGTTTTATAGGTTTTTTACATGATACCCAGCGGGTCCCTCTCCTTTTTTTATACCGAAGCAGCCCTGCTCCATTTTCGGCACCAAATTACGTATTAGTTCGTTTACTTCGTTTTCTCATGAGGTGGGCAGCTACGCAGATATAATATACGAATTACTGGATCGCTTCATTTTCTACAATTTTCTATTCGTTTAAAAATAAAGGGATAAAGTAGCAACCGCAAAGGAAAGTGTGGTTAGAATGACTTTGACATGATAAATGACAGTTAGAAGTTGACAGTTATAGTTTTTTCTACCAACTGCGCATGCTTTCGTACGAAATCTAGTATAAAAATTTATTTACGTGCCAAACAGGATTGCAATTTGTAAACGAATCGGTAATTAAATTCGGCAACGAATTTTCTCACAAAATTTGATACTGAAGTACTTTAAATATTATGTTTAATCTGAACACATTAGAAGATGAATTAAAATGACCTTTTAAAAGTTATTCTATTAGGGTAAATTTTACAAAAAAATTGGTATGCAACTGATATTTTCTTATTACATCTGAGTAGAAAATAGCAGAGGCTTTTATGTGGAAGTGATCAAGCTAACCAGAAAAAATGTTCACTTAAAAATATCATTGGCGTTTATTTTTGTATAAATATCTAAAGTAATTTTGAAGGTAATAAACAGAAACATTTTTTTAAATATTAGCTAAAAATTTATCCGTTGACGTCTAATGTTCATACTGAACTTTTCTCCATCAAATTATTGGAGAAACCATATCCTGAAGTATTATCAAATCATTAAGGAATGTGCTGTATGAGTTGTTTTTAATATATTTTAGCATGGAGACTTTGAAGCTCTCAGCCAATCGCGTCAAATTCAGCAGTATGGTGAATCTCCCCATTTCTGATGAGCTTTCGGCACCTCCTGCAGAATCAGCGTCAAATGGCGGGGCTTACTCAGATTATACCGAAGAAACGCAAGAGAACATGCCAAAATCTAGTCGCAATAGTCTGCCTTGTGCAGGTGATACGAAACTGAGAAAGAAAAACTCTATAATCAGGAAACTTCGACAGTTGGTGCAACCTAAGAAAACTGAAATTGAAGCAAATACTGAGGCGAAATCCACAAGTAAGGAAGAACGACGGTGTACAAGCGGAAGGAAGAAGACCTTTTGGAAGAGTAGCAAAATGAAGGTTCCAGTGGCGAATTGATAATATGGTTTTGTGAAAGGTACAAAGGAATTGCTTTCGGAAGTGGCGCATAGATAGGGATGCGAGTTATAGTTTTGTCTATAATTTGTTATTATGGTCGACAACCTGGAAGCTGGAACGAGATTAATTTTGGATGTCTCTATTACCGTTTGGGAACGTTAACCAATTTCTAACCCTATCTACATGTCACTACTAAGAAAAGAATAAGGGAAAATTACATACAATTTATAAGGCTTCTATTCCAATGGGAACAATATAAAGATTAGAAATAAAATTTATTTTTGCATATCTTCACTGTAGTATATGTATAATCCCGTTGGATTACTTTGCATGCGCTTTTATAGTATTTACAACGATTAAGATAATTCCGCTCATTATCTCAGGGTCGTGTTATTTAAATATATAATTTTATTGAACGTGGTCATCTTTTGTACTGGTCGATTCTGGTGAATCAAATCATAGAACATTGTATCGGGTTGCGATTTTGTGGTGAACATTACCCAATCAACTTTTGCATGAATCATTGAGATCATGTGAAAAAACAAGGAAACTCAAAATTACGGCCATTATGGGAAACTCGCAGAATTTTTGAATTGTTATCCCGAATAAATTGTGTGCTAAGTTGGTAGCTATGAGCCGCCTCAGGGTGAGGTTCTTTGTACTTTGGTTTTTGGATGCAGTGGTTATTTGGGCGCCACCTAGTTTCCAAAAACTAGGAAATGAAATAACAAGTATCACGTTAAAAGATATACCAACTCACAAGGTACACAGACATTTATTGAACAAAAAAAATTGAGGAGAAGTCCTGGACGACAGGTGAACAAGAATGAATTTATGTATTACCCCACTAGCTAAATGGTTATCCAAAAAAACTAGAATTAAAAAAAACTCTTCGAACTGCTACCGCTGGTAGAAAATTCCAGATGTTACCCTAAAGCCGGAGGATAGAACCCTTTAACAATGAGGATTCTCCAAAAATGGGAGAACTGCTCCTCCCAGGCGTGAGTCCCACTTATACTCGCGTTGGACTAACCCTGTAGGCGGTTTCCCTCCGCTCGATGGTTGAGTGTATCTGCACGGTTAAATCCCCAAAAGGGTAAAAAAAGGCTGCGACACTAAGAACCACCAAGGGGCCGATTTGTTACAAAACTACCCCACCACCCTTTGAATCGCAGCTCAACGTGTGAAATATTCACAGGATCGGGCAGTGGGCCGCAGACAAATTTGTCCACCAGAGCACCGGAAATAGCCCCAAGTCACATACAGCTCTCGTATTTACGGTCGACAGAAATTATAAAAAAATGACCTAACGAGATGGAGAGAAGAGTACGATTTTGTACCACAAAATTACCAGACCGAAAGAAGCGTTTTTTTATAAAAATGAAATTCGATGTTTTTAAGAACGGCTATAAATTATGATCCTAAATAAGAAAAACGTTGTTTTAAACTTTATCTAGATGTAGTTAATTTTAAGTCGACCATAAAAAGAAACTGTAACAGGATACCTAAATCCTCAAAAATTTGCCAGTATATCAACAGTATACATTTGATTTCGATGCTGCGTTTATGGAATTCAGCATTTAAAATAGTGAGCTGAAATTACATGGTTCGATCCCGGCGACCAAATTAGTGGAGATGAATCTGGTAATTTTTGTCGTCCGTGCCTTTGAAATGAAATTTATAACATCAGCAAAGTGAATAAATTGCACTATACGCCAGTTTTTGTTTTTATATGACACTTTTTATTACATCATTCTGTAGAAGCGTAAAATATACCTCATAGATTGATTGCAATGACTAAATGCCTTATAATCTGTGATCAAAAAATATTATTTTTATTATTCTACGTATATGTTCATAGATTATTGTAATGGATAGCATGTTATGTATTTAATAATATGTTGTGCCTACGATTATCCATATCTAAGTTATACAGGGTGGCCGATATGTAATTGATTGCCTTGTATCTTGAATATTTATGAAATGAAATAAAATACGTCCATTTTTTTCATCTTAATATTTTATTGAAACTCAGAAATTATGTATGAAAAATAATATCAGAAAAATGTCCGCCTCTAGAAGCCGCGCAAACATGAGCCTTCTTGGTTACATTTTCACACTTCGGTATTTTCACACTTCGGTAGGTTTTTGGAGGAATATTTTCGCTTCCGTAATATTGTTCTTCAGCTGCTCTACAGTATTTGGCTTGTTGGCATAAACCCTATATTCCAAAAATCCCCACAAAAGAGTCAGCAGCCGTTAAATCTGGTGACCTTGGTGGCCCGTTGACATCACCAAATCGAGAAATTGAACGTCCCAGAAATATTGATCGCAAAAGATTCCTTGTTTCCCTAGCTGTGTGACAAGTTGCTCCGTCTTACTGGAACCATATGTTTTGCAGGTTAAATTGTTGGATTTGAGGAACGAGTAAGTTTTGCACCATATCACGGTAGCGCTCGCCAGGGATAGTAGGAGTATTACCTGTAGCATCTTCAAAGAAGGTCGAATGACACCTCCAAACCAAACACCGTACCAAACTGTGACTCGACAAGGATGTAGTGGTCGTTGATGGATTGCACGATGGTTCTCTAATTCCCAGATACGAGAATTCTGCTTATTAATAAATCCGTTCATATGGAAGTGGGCTTCACCGCTCACTATCATGTGTCGGTAAAAATCGTTATTTTGGGTATTAAGCTGCAATATGCATGACTGTATTGTCAGCGACTTTCAGGATCACTTTGCTGTAGTTCTTGGGTTAACTGAATGTTGTATGCCGCAGATGCAAGTCTTTTTTAAAAATAGTGCACACTGATGTGCGACGAATACCCAGTTCTTGTGAACGATGTCTCGTAGACGTCTCAGGGCGCTCCACAACACTTGTACGAATTTTCACGATATTTTCCTGAGTACGAACAGTTCGAACAAGGTCCGACCTTGGCAAGTCTTTAACTTTACCTGTTTATTCAAGTTTCCGCACCAACTGACGAATGGTGTTGACACTGGGTACATTATTTCGACCGAAATCCTGTCGTAGCTTCCGAATCGTTGCAACAATCGACTCATTATTCAAGTAAAACGTTTCAAGAATACGGACCCGTTGTGGGATCGTGTAGCGCTCCATGATGAATTGGACATATGTGCTTTAAACAGCTACTCGGTGCCATCTACTGAAATGCGTGTATAAAAATAGCGCGCAATTTAAATCAGGTAGTTATATATTGGCCACCCTGTATTAGTATATTAGTTGTATATTTTGATCATGTCCAGTTGTTCAGCGTTTTTCGTTCATTCTCTGGTCGTCAATCATTGCACAAACTAGATGAATATTGAGTCGTGCATTATTCCTCCTGTTACGCCAATTTTGGGTGTATTAAGTTGTTAGAAACGTATATTCGAGAGAAGGTTATAAAAATAACACCACAAGCTTCACAGTTTTTGAAGAATAAGATGCGAGATATTCAAGTAGACCGATTTTTTGCTATGATTGAACATTAGCTCATTGCTAACTCTGGCTTAAAATCTACTAAATGCGACCTGCGATAGCTTCTCAGTGTCTTATATCACGTTTATATATTTACAAATTCAACTTTCACCAATGAGTTTTCTGAAATTCAACTTCCTATACCCTCCTCCTGGTTATCTACATATTCTGGACAGACTTTTGTACTCTGTTCAGAGTCACCATTTAGTTCCACATCAGGCTTTTTCGCTTTTTTCACATCTCTTAGTATGTCTTGTCGGAAACAGGCCGAATTTTAGAGACAAGTACAAACCAAGTTTCTGTTTCCTTGTCTTGTATTTCAAAACTTACTCAGCCCAATTTCACTATTCGGTAGTTCAACTAGAAGTTTTTGCATAATGCGGTAACCGAAACGACAAAGTTTGCCTACCTCTTAAATTATTTAAAAGCTAAATTGAAAGGATAAAACTCAAATGAATACATCTCCGCAAATGTTTACCAACTTGATTTTTCTCGTATAATTTTGATACTTCACTTACTTGAATTGTTATGGAGGTCTTAAAATGATTGTTACCATTTCCATATTTATTTGACGTCATTTAGTTTTAAGGATTTTTTTTTGTATTATATTACAAAGCTTGTCCTACTTCAGGTACTTCTGCCATATATTGAAATACGCCATAATATTTTCCAAAATAGTTATCTGATTTCAGATTCATTACATATTTTCTTTGGGCCAACGTATACGAATATATATATATATATATATATATATATAGGCTGCGTTAAGGTTTCTGGTTTAGGCACTGTTTGGGAAGTAATAGATGTAATGTAACAAAGATATAGGCATTGGCGCCCACAGGAAGTTTTTTCAGTTGGTGGATTAGACCTTGGCAAGAGGTAGCTTTTTGTATCATATGGAAGTGTATCAGCTCCCCTCATACGAGTGCAAATGATTCCATGCCAATGTTGATCAACAGATCATTATTTATGGATCTTAGGATATAACCTGTTATGGCGTAATGACCTTCTTGAGCAAAGTATAGGGGATAGAGCGGAATGATTTATATAACCGTGGTAAAAATATAAATAAATGCACCTATTATAACGCGGGATATAGATACCTCTATGGCTTTATTATCCTTGAAAACAAACTAATCTATACTGCAACCTTCAGCTCATCAACGTTGCAAAAATGATAGCCACGCGACTTTTTATATGCCACCAAGGAAAAAATAATCCTAGGAAGCCTTATCCAGATTGTAGATTGGATGATAATCAGATTGTTTGAAGTCAAGGTTTTGAACCACTTAATATTCATAGGTGGATTGTCGTGCAACCATTTACTCTCATTATTTGAATCTATTCTTCAAAACATTTGCTTTTGTAGAGGCAAACTTGTTGCAAAAAGAATATATTCACCGGTCACAAGTTTTATTAGTGACATAATAAATACAGCGTGTCTCAAGGCAGAGTTAGGAATTTGAAATTAAATAACAATAAAACGGTGCAGTTTACCAAAACTATTTTTATTTCGTTTAAAAGACCATATATGCGGATATCATTTTTTTTTTAATTATGTCGTCGAGATGTTCCTAATTTCCTTGCTCTCAAGATGCCCCCACAGGAAAAAATCCATGAGGGACAAATCTGGTGATCGCGGAGGTCATGCGATATCACCAAATCGGAATATTAATTTTCGAGAGAACAACCCTTGAAGCTGGTCCATGGACAGTGGCTTCATCTTGCTGAAACCACGTGCGTGAACTGTACGCAGGATGTTCTTGCAGCTGGGGTATAAAATAGCTTGTTGTCGTTCGACCTCTCCCGTCTTCAAAGAAATAAGGCCTGATGATTCCGTTCGCTGGGAGGGCACACCACACCGTTACTTTTGGGCTGTGCGTCTCTGATGTTTTTCTTTGGGATTGTGAGGTTCCCAGAAGCGAAAATTCTGTTTGTTTACATAACCATTTAGATGGAAATGTGCTTCATCGCTCCAAAACACCATATCCAATGTGCGAAATCTCTCAATGAGAGTTTAGCAAAAGTGTTGCGGTAAAATGTGTCATTTTCCGTTATCGCCTGCACAATTTGAATTTTGTAGGGATGGAATATCAAATCCGTCTTCAAAATCCGCTCTACTGTGGATTTAGTAAGGTTCAAGACTGCTCGATGATCGAGGATTACGACGAACTCTAGCATCGTTTGTTTCGTCTTCAATTCTTGCTCGGGCCCGGCCTCGGCTGATCTTGTAGTTTGAAACTTTTGCACCCATTTACGAATCTAGTTTTCGCTTGATGCATCGTGTACACGTCTTATGTTGTAATATAAAAAAAACTGCCGCCGAGCCGTAACGCCTCGATAGCGTATGCACGATCCGCGCCTGAGCACTGCGACATGGCGACTGACAAATCCGCACGAACGTTGAATCTGCCGCGCACCCTCTTCAAGCGGTTTTTGAAATATTCAATTTCCAAATCCTAACTCTGTCATGAGTATTATAAACTATTCGCTTAGTGAGCGATGATAGCGCAGAGTAGAGGATGTTATACAGGAATAGGAATATATTTCTGTCCGATGATTCGCCCACCAATGTAGTCTTTTTCAAGTGCAATTGACAATTGTCCCCGCAGTGATAGTCGAAACGTCGTACAATAAACAGAAATCTAAACTTATATGTTGTTTTGACTTTGCCAGACAATGGAGTCCTATGAACATAAAAATCACAGGGTGTATTTCAGAAGTTGCATTAGACAAATATTTGTACGTGATACGTGTCGCGTAAAAATAAACGGCTATTAATAAAAATGACAGATGTTTAGTCGATTTGAGATTTGGAACAAGTGACAAATGATTAGAGCGAAATGTTTGAACCTATCGGACCTCAGTGGACCCCACATGATACGATTTCACTATAGAGACAATATCTATATACCACTATTTGTCCGATGATGTTTTCCTGTTTGTCCACTGCACTATGACAGTAACTGCCAACTGTATGTTGTCCCAACATGATAATTGTTTGCTTCAGTAACTTGACCTATTGTGAAAAGGCTGCTTAGGGTGACAAGGCGGACCAGACTTTTAGCGCATATCACGAGTCATCATGAGCCGAACTACAGAAAGTATAGACTGAAGCAACTATACATTTCGCACTCCGGCCTTATATTCACATAATATATTTGTTACAGCCAAAACTCATAACCAGTCAAAACCACTTTTAGCTTCAGAAATATTGGGCAATAGTGATTTTGACTAAATTGTATTGGTTAAGTGGTATTAGTCAAGAAGAATGTAAGTCAAAACGCTTATGGCTGGAAGTATTGAATAAGAATGATAGGTAAGTGTTTCTAAAATCGTTATATTATTAGACAAATGGAAATTCTGCATAATGTTTACTCGTGATTATAACTTTTGAAGAAAGGAAATGAACATTTTGTATAATTAAGATTGTCATCATACAGTAAAGCAAATTAGATAACTTATTATTTATCTACTATGAATACTCTTGTGTCAAATAAGAAAAAAAGAAGAATGAAAAGATAATCAAATAAAAAAGTCAAATTTGTACTTTTTGACTGCTCTGCTCACACTGTTATGACACTTTCAATTATACAAGAAACCTTTTTTGCTGCATATACATCTGTATAAGAAAAAGGACATAGGTTAAATGGGCCTTTGACTGCAGAAATCAGTCAAAACTGTTTTTGACTGGTTATGAGTTTTGACTGTAACCTATTCATTTCTAAGACAGATTTACATTCGGTTAGAAGAACCCAAGAAAACTACGATTGGTGGAATTAGGTGTTTACTCGGTATTCCAGTGCCTTGTCAATTCTGTTAACATATCTTATTTTGTCCCATATTTTTTATGAAAACCACATAATATACATATTTGGACAAAATCTTTTCTGACTACATCTCAAAATATCTTAACGTGTTTTTCAAAATACAAGATCATTCATTGTATGGACTGAATTTTGTATTTTTTTTTCAAATTATTTGTATGGTGCCTTCAATGTGTTCTTCACCAAGTGCATTATTTCTATGTATTATTATAAAAGCTTGAGCGAATTTATTTTTATTGTACATATTATTTTCAAATAAAGCTGTTATTAAAAAAGATGTTTTCATTTTTTTTAGCACAATCTTAACTTTCTATTTCCTGCACCAAGAAGGTTGGATGATGAAAAATATTAACTAGCTCCAAAAATCTGTTCAGTTATATCTAGACCAGCTCTTTCACAGCGGTTCCAACAATTTACGACATTTGTTCGTGCGAAATCATGACATTGGCATTTGGGGGTGTGAAACCTTGGATGTTTTGGATTTTACGGCCCAAGGCAGTAATAATCTCCAGGTCCTTGAATCAGAGAGTGAGTTGCTGCTGTACTGAAAGAGGCTTCTGGCCGACCTCTTCTGATGCTTCTCATTGGCAGATTTAGACATCCACGTCTACCATTTTTCTGTATCTTAGAGATGTGCCGAGGTGGATTCATTCACCATGATTAAGTCTACTCGTTGGCATGCTCCTATAAGATGTAAGCTTTTTGTATATTAAATCTAAACTTTTCCATTTAGATTAGTAATCTTCAGCGAACAACATTACTGAACAAGCATGATAATTTTGACCCAATGAATTCTTAGTTAGTCATTAACCAGATACATCAAATTAACCTGTGTATCAAGTGCAATGAACACATCGCTAGTGAGGCTTTCGACAGACTGATGACTTTTACCCAACAAGTGAAGCACATGAACACACGTCGCATGCACTTGACTAAAAGCTGTCGTGCTAAGCCGGAGGTACTTGTGTATTTCACTCCAGAAGCAAATATTAACGTTATTCAACTTTTCCCGAACAAGCTTGTTCAACTACAGTTCTCATGTACATGCAGTGTTGTCATTATTAAACTGGAGGAAGGACTAGCATCTACTTATCCGCAATCATAGTTTTGTTGGTCTGAATGCCGACATGCATAGTGCTGTCATCTATAAAACTATGGGTCGGATTTATAATCGGTAATTGTGGGACGAGAAAAGGAAAGTCTAGTCTACTATATACGCGACAGTTTTCAAACAATTAAATGAGTCGTTGGTCCCTGATGACGGATTCCATACTGCCCGTCGCTAATTAGGTTTCGAAGCAGAGAATTTAATATTTTAGAGGAATTAAGTTGATGGGGTTTGAAAGTTAAGAACGTACATTCATTTTTTTCGACAACGCGAGTTGGAGAGTATTGTGAGCACTTACTATCTGATTTTTGGATAGTGTGTATAAAAATAATAAATTTTTGTCAAAACGTATATTTTCTTTTTAATACTTGTTCAGCTCCATTTTTAAAACGGATAATCGTTTAGACGCGAGATTGAGTGACTGCATTAGAGAACCAACTGCTACTTCACATAGATATCGCGATAAGGCCTTATTCTGGGCGATATTTCCTGCATTATACGATTCACTGTGTACCCCTTGCTTCTGCCCACACTCACGAGATATCGTTGGAAGTCCGTCCGCCCCCACGGTGCGACGTTTTGCTCACGGCGCTTTTCACGAGGTTGCCATCTCCTAAAATGAAAATGCCTTAGATGGTTGTCCAATATCCATTAAACTGGACGCTTTTTCGCTAAACCAAAAACCTTATTCTAATTTTGACAAAACAGTAGTAAAATGTAAGTACTGAAACCTGCATTTTGGTGAAATTTTTTAACATAACTCTTGGGCTTTTGATCTGAGCTTTTTTCGTGTTGGCTCATTTTAAACGTCTCTTAACTACCTAAAAATCTTATATGAAAAGTTTTTTCACTCATGCAAACACTTTCGATTGATTCTCAACAAATTTTGTCATACTTTGTTTCAAGCAGTTTTTCCACAAAATTAAGTTGCTTATTTTATATTCCCATGTTTTAAATACATCCCAAAATGACGAACCAGTAAAAATAAACTTTGCAATTATTTCACAAACCAGGGGATTTCTCGTTCTAATGTGATTAGACTATAGGTCAACCCTTTGCCGTAAATAAAGACATTACTTATTTGTTTATTTCTCACGGTAAACAGATATGATTTTATTGTTTTCTTTCTAAATGTATTAATATCGCACAAAAAATACAGAAGTAAAACGAGAAATTAGATGCTCGTCGAATTTTTGTCCCAGTAACAGCCACGGTTTCTCGCAATAAGCGCCCGTCTTGTTAACACGAAATCTTCTGAAGATCTTGGCCTCAATTTCAGATAGGAAATAGTGTGTTATCAAGCCGTGATAAACGGTCGCTAAATTGCAAAATGTCACTCGAAATGATCGGACGCGCCATCGAAAGAATGGAAATCTAGAATAGAGCACATTGCCCGCAGTAACAGCCGATACTTCAGAGAACTCCATGGAAGCTGTTTTTAAAAAAGTATCTAGCGAATCAATTGTCGCTTTGTAACGACAATTAATACAGCTGTTAAATCTCCATGTATTTTTGGCCGCCAAATGAAACCATAACATATGGTGGACTTAGATTCTTACTAACTGGTAACCCTTTTCAATGTACAATGAAAAAATGGTAATGACAATGTCAATACTTAGTTTTGCACAATGCTCGTAAGGCCAGTAATTTTAATATGACCTGGCCCAAATCCAGCGAAACATTCCTGTCCCCAAAAGATGTCCAGCCTCCCCATAGCGACAAGTGAGTATGCGGTGATCTGTTTTTTGGATATACCAGTCAGACCACCCTCGCTCAGCGGCCTGTAAACGGCAAGTGACTTCGATAACCAGAACTGTTATCGCACATACCTGTTTGGAGAATCTGGCTATATTTTGGGAGCGGGAACGCTCCGACATGATAGTTCTAAAAATAAGAAACTTCTGGCTAGCGTAACATTTATTCATTGCTATACTTTACTTGCATTTTTAGTGTATTCCAAAAAATATGAAGCTTCCAGATTCTCGATTTTCTTTCGCCAAATATAGTGACATTGCCATTCATATAGAGGCTCTAGGTAATATGGCATAGCGTTTTTGCATAAGTTGGATGAAGTTTTCTGAAAATTTTTCTGTACACTTTTTTATCGTCATTTTGTCTGTACTATTGCAAAAAACATAGTGTTTTGTGCATGCTATAAACGATCTGCTGTGAATACCAAAAATCGTCAAGGACAAAATTCTACAGTATATTACAAAGACAAGATGCAGGACCGAACTAAGACTTTATTGTAAAATCGGTACTGATTTTTGTAAATATGAAACTTAAGCCAGGCCAATGAGATTCGAACGTGTCATATCTAGCTCCTCCCCCTGACGCTGTTTTGAACAACCACAGGAAATTGTAATAGCGCCTCTGTACATACTATATCGATGCAGATTTGCCTAAATCTAGTTGAAAATTCACTAAGTTGTCAACACTGGCGCGGTCGGGACCACCGCCACTCCCGATCGATAGGCGGCTGCGCAACGCGTGTTGCCCATCGCACCGCCGCCCCCACTTGAATGGCGCGCCCGTCGATGAGGGCGCCACCGTCGCGCGGTCGGACAGTTCGCAGGGTTGCTACTGCTTGAGTGGAGTTGGGGGTCATCCGAGCAGGACAGAGACCGAGCCTTGTGAGTGCGTGAGCGCCGTGTCCAGGATACTCGCCGCGGTGGTGTCGTGACAGATGGGGGCGGCAGAAGGCCCTTTCGTCGCCGGGGGCAGCAGCGGGATGGACCAATGCCGCCGGACGTGGCCACCGAGGACCTAGTGCAAGGAGCAGGTGCTGGGGCAGCTAGCCACCCGCCACACGCACTAAGGAGATGCCGTGATGGCAAGAGAGGTACTACCATACGATACACAATGTCGAAATGCGCTCGAGGTGATCATTTGGGCGGTGCTGAATCGCTCCCTAAATTTCTACGGCACAATCAATTTCGGACGAACGTCCTATGCGATGTTGCCGCTTGTATGCGTTTTATTGCAGCTTGGGGAAACTCAAAATTTTGACGTTTTGTATGTTAAACTCTTCAAGTGAATGATTCACTTTTATATAAAAATAACGTAATTTTCATCGCGGTCATCCTATAATAAACAACATAAAAAGTGGCCATTATGCGCTTAAGATCCGATAAATATTTAGTTGCATACACCATTCTTCAAAATTCTTGCTTACTGGATCCTCTAGGACAATTACTGTGCGCTGAAAAATTCAAGGGAAATATACTGTTTATTTTGATTTTCACATTCAGAACATTTTAATCTTGAATCCTACCACTGTCAATTCATTCATATTCAAGCAACCATTCCAAGCAACAGAAACTAGAATGCTAGTTAGATATATACCTTCATTAGCAACCCATGTCATTTGAGAAATTTTTGTGGGGAATATATGGGATTTGAGGTTATATTTTATATTATATTATACTTTTTATAAATACTTTCCCATAAACATCATCAATTTGAAGTCTAATAGGCACAGCATTTACTTACAATTAAAAGGTCTATCGCAATCGTCATAATTGAGGAATAATTCCATCTTATGTATTTCTTATAGATATAGATGGGAAATATGAACTACTATTTTACCTCCCTTTGCTGATCATGTCGGAAAGGAAACACACAAATCATGTTTTTGTTATTGTCATATTCTGATGATTATTCCATCATAATACTAATGTGAATGAACATATTCACCATTTTCCAAAATAAAATAATCTGATGATAATTTATTGATGCTGTTAGGATGTAATATCTAGGTATTATTTTTCCTAGCTTTGCACATACATAACGTACACCTCAAATATAAGCGTTTCCTGAACCTCGTTATTTTATTGCCACAATCCAAGAACGCCATTACTCAACAATATATGCCACCACGTAATTTGCATATTTCGTTTAATTTCCCACAAAAGCAGCATCTACAGTTATGATGTCGTTACTCCTGCTGTCTGTCATCAACGAAGGTACCAGTGACATCAAAAAGCTCTTATAGAGCACCTGTAATAGATGTCAGACTGCAGTGCTTAAAATCGTTCTCATACTTTTATAGTACGATCGATGACCGTACCAGTATGGAATATTGGTGGACTGTTGATAACAGGTCTACCGGATAGTTCTGTACGTTTTTAAGTTATCAAAAAATATTCTCCCTTACCTTGGATAAATTTTATTAAATAATATAACGTTCATCATTATTTATGACCTCTTTTCAACGGAATATTAGTTATTATAAAACGTCTTACCTCTATGTGCGAGAAATTTATCCGGCGCTTGTTTGATATTATTCTTCGTTTTGAAATGTTTACCCTATAGGAAATATTGTATAGGTAATAGTTGAAAAGTGCTAAGTCTGGAGACTGACAGGTTTCCAAAGCCCTACATTATTGGAATGTTGACTAGAATTTATCTAAATCAAGAAAATTTGTATGTGACTTTTAGCTTATAATTCGGTTTCAACAGGTCATTTGGTACTGAATCACGAATGTTCTACCCTATTCCGAAAATCCGGGTTAGAGTTAGAGGAAACAGGTTTTCCCAGTTCATAATATACTTTTACATATGAAATTTTCATACGTTACTTACTATACACCACCAGTTTCTAGCCGATTCAAGAATTGCTCGAATCTGCTGCGAGCAAGTAGAGACGTGCTTGCCACTAATCTGTCATTTTCTGTCACTTAACTCATCTGTCACTCAACTCATATTTCCACCATAATCATAGTGCCCAAATATGTTATTCGAAATAGTTTGCTCGATGGAATCGAGCTTTCGTGATGTTAACAAAAAAGGATTTTGCTTCAGCATGGTCTTGGCAGTATCGTTGTCGATCAAAGTAGGTCGCTGACAGCGTCGTTTATCAGACAGTTCAAAATCACCTGTTTGAAATTTATCACAGCTTCGTCTGTATATACGTATTTTTAGAAACTCCACCTTCACTAAACACGTTCAATAAATTTTATACACGATTCCGTGTCTTTCTTTTTGGAATTCGTACAAAAATACGGTGGCGGTCGTTTCTATATTGTAAGACAAACCATGATTCATCAGTAGAAAGAGTGAGCCAAATATCTGTCAAATAAAGATTTGCGTATCTGTGGAAAATTGTTAATATAGGAACGGATACATTTTTTATGTACACTCAGAGAAAATAATATTAGAATACTCCAGCATACGTCTACACTTTTTAAACGCAGCTTTTCCTACAATGTTGCTATTATTTATAATGACCTTCCTAAAGTATATAAAGAATTTTCATTACCTGTCTTTCGACAAAAAGTTAAAACAATACTACTCAACCCTCCAAACATATAATTTACGTATCATGCATTTCTTTTTTATTCCTTTTTTAATTCAGGTTAATATTTTTTGGTGTACTTGGGTTTGGAAAGATGCCTTTTTCTTTTTGTAATTTTTACTTTCGATGTAAGAAACCAAATCTGTTTGTGGATAGTGTATACTTTTGAACATCTGCTCGCGACTATATGGTTAATAATAATAATAATAATAATAATAATAATAATAATGGTTTATTGGTGCTATTGCACAGAACGTGCTTACACAAGTCAATATAATAGAAGCGTGTAAGAGTAGCACCATGCTAAACTTCGCCATGTGAGTCTGACATTTGGCGATACTACAATGTGAGTTGTGGATGAATATTATTATTATCATTATTATATAATCGGATTCAGAAGTCTGTGTTCTAGCTAGGGAAAAATTGTATTCTTCTTAGTGACAGTGGTGTTAAGACTTTAAAAAACCTTCTGATGGCCCAACATCTATCATAGTTGGCTTAATAGCTGACTACAACATTTTCTTATAAGTACAAGTGACGTCACTGATAATAATTTGTAGGTGAAATTACGCTCCATTACAAATACGATGCGCGCTAGCAGTAGTGTGCAATGAGTTCTACTACTCGTCACTTCCACCTTGGTACCCTACTATAGGTAGCGATTTGCTTCTGGCACTGAATGCTAATGAACGTATCAGTGGCCCTGCTTTCATTATTTTTGAACCTGTCGTTTACATATTTTGCCTAAATAACATTTTGCGTTTTCCCTGTTCAAATGGAATAATTCTTCATTCCATCTCTCGAACGGCTATTTTGTCAGTTTGAATGTTCATACGAAAAGCAAGAACATGTTATCCCCAAATCGCCTGTAAAACATATCAAACAAAATGTGAAATATTCACCCTTTGTGGCCTGGTGGGTGGTCTGACTGACCAATATATAATCCTTTAGTTGCGTCCTTGATGGCAGTCTGACGGTACCTTGGTAATTACTGGTTGCCTATCACTTAGGCTTTTTATCAGCAATGGAGTGGTAACCAACGAATATCTTATGGAATCGCCCGAATTATAAAGATTATTTTGTTGTGTTCCATCGAATACCGGGACGTTTTAGCTGGTCAGCCATTTGAAGATAATAATGCCAGTATAATTTATTTTTATTTTGCATACTAGTAAGTATAGTTCTAAAATAATAACCTTATTTTTTTGTAATATACTGGTATATCATATGTTCTTGCTAGTTTCCGGAAAGAAGCAGGATAACTAACATACATATACAGTATGTTAGAATGAATATTACAGGTCTGGGGCATCAAAAAAAGTGTAAATGTGGGGACCGGCTTAGAGTTGCCTGATGAGGATATTTTAATCAATTATGTTACCGGTCAAATGCTGCCGGATTTGTGTGACTGGCAATTCGGGTGATAAGGATTCAAGTCACAAGTCGTATCTCTTCATTAGGTTGGTATCATCAGCTAGTGTTGCGGTTTATACTGCCTACGATACCGGGGCTGTGTACTTCTGATTGTAACGTTTTGTACAGGGTGGCCCATCCATGTGTGGACGGAATATTACTCATAAACAAATACATTTTGGGAAAATATATATTTATGGATGTTATACATGACATCTGAGGGCACATTTCTAAAATATTGGCCATTATACAGGGTGTCCCAATTCAGACCTACATATCCAAGTTGTGATTTTTCAAATAGAATGCCTCAAATTTTATTGCATGTTTGGATAAACCAATTCGAAAGAAGAAAATTGATATAACATACTATGGAGTTTTGGTAATTAGCTAGTGAGATATAAGGTGTTTTGTCGAGAAAAAACCCACTTCGGCAACCCGTCAGTCCACCATTTTGAAATTTCGAGTGCTGAATTTTGTATCAAAAACTTACACACCTCAGCTTTTATCTTATTTGTTACTTTTTCGAATTTTAATTTTTGCTCATACAGGGTGGTTAAAAACGCAAATTGTAGTTTTTCTCAAAAATTTCAAATGCATCATCCTATATATTTGCGTAAGTTTGGTTTCAATTTTTTATAAGATTTTTTCGATACTAGACAGATAAGGGTTTTAACGGCTATTATTGCGGTTATTAGCACGTCTTTTATGGAACGGCTTAATTCCCTAAAATCATCCTTATAAACAAATAAATTGTTGATTAGTTACAAACTGTCAAAATTAACTTTGTGCCCATTATAATAAAAGCGTGTTTGAACACGATTTTTTCTAAAGAAGAAGTGGTGCATATGGTGTTCGTTTTGGGCGAAGCCCAAAGAAACAGTTTCCTAGCATCTCGCATTTATAAGCGATGGTACCCTAATATGCGACATCTAAGGCCGGACACATTTTCCACACTACGAGAATGTTTTGAATCAAGTGGAGCAGTGGAATATAGTAAAAAATGTATAAATAATCCAACTGTCACCAATCCATCCATATTACCTATGCGTGCATCAAGGCCTTCGTCCTCAGGATTTCGCACCTCGAATGGAGTTTAGTAGAATAGTGCTAAATAAAGTGAGTGAAGACACTAC